ACTTGCCCATAGTTACATATATTAAAGGTAAACAAAATTTATGGAATGTTATTGTGTTGGACTAGGCTCCTGCACTAGGATCCAAGAAACCAGATCAAAGCAAAATGGAAGGCCGGGCGCGGTGGCTCACGCCTGTAATCCTAGCACTCTGGGAGGCTGAGGCGGGTGGATTGCTGGAGGTCAGGAGTTCAAAACCAGCCTGAGCAAGAGCGAGACCCGTCTCTACTATAAATAGAAAGAAATTAATTGGCCAACTAATATATATATAATAAAATTAGCCGGGCATGGTGGCACATGCCTGTAGTCCAGCTACTCGGAGGCTGAGCCAGAAAGGATTACTTGAGCCCAGGAGTTTGAGGTTGCTGTGAGCTAGGCTGACACCACGGCCCTCACTATAACCTGGGCAACAAGTGAGACTCTGTCTCAAAAAAAAAAAAAAATAAGCAAAATGGAGTCACTCATGCTAAAGTTCCACTTCACCAAACCAAAACCAAATCTGACCTTCTGAGAAATTGGTGGGGGGGGGGTATGGGAAGGAGAATAGCCAAATCCTCAAAGCATACAGATTTAGCTGACATAATAAGGAAGTCCTCTCTGTTTTAACCCCATAGGGAAAGTAATTTTGTTTTTGTTTTTGTTTTGAGACAAGGTTTTGCTCTGTCACCCAGGCTGAGGTGCAGTGGCACAATACATAGCTCAACTGCAGCCTCCTGGGCTTGAGCAATCCTCCCACTTCAGCCTCCCAAAGACCTAGGATTACATGTGTGAGCCACTTTACCTGGCCAGAAAGTACCTTTGAAATGACCAATCTTCTTTTTGTTCCTTATTTCTGCTTTCTTCAGCCTTTTTCTTCCTATAAAGCCAACTTCCTCTACTCAGATTGTTGGAACATTTTATTTTATAGAATCAGGTGTTGCCTGACACTAGAATCGCTAATAAAGGCCAGTGAAATCATTTAACTAAATTTATTGTAATTTTGTCTTTTGACTACATATAAATACACACACACACTATATATATATATGTATGTGTATATATATACATATAGGCATTGGTGTATATACGTGTGTATATATATATAGAGAGAGAGAGAGGGAGAGAGAGTCACTGGGGATTGAAGGTATTTCTTTCTGAGGGTTATGGTCAAGAAAGTTTGGAAGCTGCTTAGAGGTCTTAGGGGACTTCTGGGGCCTTTGTGGGTGTGGACAGGGCTGTACTTGAACTTTAGGGCTTGCCTAGGCAGGACACCTTCAACTGGGGACAGCAAAGAATGGACACCTTTGTTACACTTTAGTCATTTAACAGATTTATTGAGCCCCTACCTGCGTTTGTTTGTGTGCAAGCCTCATTTAAGATACAGGGAAGACAAAAGTCAAAGAGAACAAAGTCTGCTTTCGTGGACAAATAAAACAGATGGATATGTAATATAATGTCAGCAGTGTTAAGAGCTACGAAAAGATTCAAGTACTAAAGGAAAGAGGACATGGTGGAGGTGTGGTGTGGAAAGGATGATCTCGGAGGCCTCTCAGAGAAGTGGCACAGGAAAAAGCAAGCCATGAAAACACTGGGGAAGGAGCTTTCCAGACAGAGGACCAGCAAGTGCAGGATTTCTTTTTATGGCATGAACTCTGCTTCTCTGTCTCCAAAGAACCTCATATAACCTTATATTGTGTGAAAATCTGCTACAAATATATTCACAGATTCTTACACATATGGTAAAGCATTCATTAGCCCCCATTGTATGACACATGTAGGAGTGTACTTATTTTTATAAAATTGGGATTACGTGTTCGTCCAGCTCTATAATCTGCCCTTTCACTTACTCATTTATGACATTTGGTTTCGGTCTTTTTTTTTTTTTAACTTTTTTTTAGTGAACATTTTGGAAAGTCTTTGGAAAGAACTATTTCTCCTCAGCCTTTCCTTTCCCTCAGGTGGGCTCCTCAGTGGCAGGTCCAGCCTTTTCTGCCAGCCTGGTGGACCCCACCTTGCTAGGCCCTATTCCCATTCCCCTTTCCTCCTCAGCCCCTGATCCAACATCTCTGGAGCTGGAGCTGGAAGTCATCTGCCTACAGTTGCACAGTGTCTAGGAGTAGCAGGTGAGACTATCGACATTGTGGCTTCTTTACCTCCTGTGATGTTTTCATAGCACAGTCAGTTTCAACTGCCACCTTTAAGAGGGACTTGGCAGTCTGCCAGTACAGACAAACTCTGATCACATGGGTGCCCTGTGATGAAGTCTAGGCCCCCAATGACAGAGTCCTCTCCTCTCAGGCCAGACCAAACTAGATGAGACCAGCTCTCTTCTCCAGAGGGCTCTTAGGACCAGTCCACTTCGCAGGAGGGCCATTATTAAACTGAGCAAGTACAGGAAAGAACAGCCAACTCCGGCAATAAAGAGTCAAGAACTAGGATTATATTTATATAAGACAGAGCTGGAGGCTGCTATGGTTTGACTATGACCCTGAAAGTACACATGCTGGAAACTTAATCCCCAGTGCAACAGTGTTGAGAGATGGGACCTTTAAGAGGTGATTAGGTCATGAGGACTCTGCTCTCCTGAATGGATTAATGGCATTACTGTGGGAGTGGGTTCCTGAAAAAAGGATAAGTTCAGTTCCCTTCTCTCTATCGAGCTTCTTCCTTCTCACCACGGGATGCCTTCTGCCATGTTATGATGCAGCAAGAAGCCCCTTACCACATGCCATCTCTAAATCTTGGACTTCTCAGCCTCCAGACCCATAGCAAAATAAATTTCTGTTCACTATAAATTGCCCAGTCTGTGGTATTCTGTTATAGCAGCACGAAATAGGCTAAGACAGAGGCACTGGTAGTGTAAAGCTGAGGGATGAGAGGTGAAGGTTAGGGAGGGGTGTGCATGAAATTATGGATTCAAAGGTGACAGCACAATGAGTCAGGAAGCTGCAAATAGTTCAAACCACTGAAGCATATAATGTGGGGGCAGAATTAGAAAATGAGGCTAAAGAGATATATACCAAGCTTTACGGATCTAATGAGGGAATTTGAATTTCACTTTGGATATCCATTATCTGTTGTGTATACAAACCACCCCAAAGCTTCATGGCTCAAAATGAAAACTGCTTTATTTATAATTCTGTGGATTACTAAATTGAGCTGAGCTCAGCTAGGTTGTTCTGATGGTTATTCATATGGTTGCAGTCCTCTGATGGCTCAACTAAGGCTGGATAGTCCAAAATAGTCTCACCCACATGTCTGGCATTTGGTGCTGGCTATTGGATGGGCCATGTCTCTCAAATAGTCTAGCCTAATCTTCTTCCCATGTGGCAGTGTGCCAAGAGGATCACAGCAGAAACTGCAAGGCCTTTTGAAGCTTAAACTCAGAAGTATTGCAATGTCACTTCTGCTACATTTTATTGGTCAAAACAAGTTATAAGGGCAGCCCTGATAGGAGGAGCTACAAAGAATTTGTGGTCACTTTTAATCTATCACACCCTGGGATGGTGTTGGCCTGAGCCAAGGTGGTAGGTAGAGAGAAGTGGACAGACTTTTATTTTTAGGATATTTTGGAGGCTGAATTGAGAAGTCCTGGGGATTGTTCATGAACAAGGAAGATAGGGAGAAGTTATAAATGACTCCTAGATCCTTGGCTTGGGTGATTGGTGAATGGTAGTGCCCAGCACTTAGAGAGAAAAGAGGAGGAACAGGTCTGGGGGGAAATGATGTTTCCAGTATGAGTCATGTCAAGGATGAGGTGTCTTTTAGACAGCCAGATGGAGATGGGCAGAAGGCAGCTGGATATACAGGTCTGGCTCAGGAAGAGGTCTGGTTGCAGTACCAGTTTGGGAATCTCTGGTGCTTTAAGCCTAAAGCATCTCTCAGGGGGGCTGTATCTGCAGAGCAGGAACATCATGAGGGCAGAGATCTAGCAACTCAACTCTGTAGCAGCACTGAGTCTAGCTCCGTGCTCCAGGACAAAGCAGTAAGTCTATGCTGGTTGTGGCTTACTAGGCTATTATGGGGAAGAGAGATTAAGTTTGTAGAGAGAACCCCCAGCTCTGAACTAAGGTCAGTGTTGCAAGTGGCAAGAGAGGTAGAGCCCTCTCCTGCCAGGAGGAAATCTCCCAACACCAGGTCACTGACTCAGAAAGTAACAAGTGCATCATCACCGAAGGAGCATCAAGGGATGCTCAGTGGGCATTGCTGTAGTGGGGGTTGGAAGATAGACCCAGCGGCCAGCCCTGATAGTCTGTGAAGGCAAACTTCTCTTGCCACCCCCACTCTCCCACAGGCACTCAACTTTCAGAAACTCCACAAATCTTCACTGAAAGCTATTCTGGTGGGAGATCAGCACAGCAGAGGCACCTACTAGGGTGCAAAAGAAATGTTGGATAGGATCCCTGCCATTCATTCATTCATGCAACAAACAGTCAACAAGCCCCTTCTGAATACCAAGCCCTGTGCTGTGCAACCGGAATACAGAGGTGAATGGACTCTAGTTTGGAAGCAATGCCACTGCAGCTGTAAAAACTTTGTCTTATAGCTGCTGTGGGTTTATAGAACTGTCTTCCCACTGCATCCCATAAAGGTACTGAGAGGCCTTCTTGCTATGGTACCTGGCTGTAACAGTCTGATGAAAGAAAAAAAGAATGAAAGGAATAAGGGAGTGGGGGACTGAGGAAGTGTCCAAAGGAGGGATCTCTGATTGGACTCAGGGAAAACTTCAAAGAAATAAGGCAACACCTCTATCTGAGCTAATAATAATTTAAAAGACGACATTAAGTGCTTCCTCCGTGGTTGTTACACTGATATCCGCTTTCCTTGGATTACCTAGATTCTTCTGGCAGCGTGGTCTTGGGCACCTCCGTCCTTTTCTTTGGACCTTATCAACGGATCGTTACATTAAGAAAACAGAGCGGGGCGCTCTCGTTCGGTTCACCGTAGACGTCAGGCGAGCGGAACTGCTGTTCGGCGGCCGACAAGGGCGCCCGGAACCTTTTACCTGGGACTCCCGCCCTAGCGACGTGAGGCTCGTTGCTAGGGGCGGAGGCGCAGGAGACGGTGGAGCTCGGAGACTACGGCCGCCCTCCGGCTCCTCGTCCCAGCCGGCCTCAGCTCCAACCCCGCCAGCCCACCGGTGGGTATGGAAGCCCAGGCGGGGAGGGTGGAGCCCTCGCGCTCTCTGGACCGCACCCGCCTATTTCTGGCCGAAGCAGAGAGTGGGTTCTTAGAGCCAGCCTTGGGCTGAGTAGCGCTAGGTTGCCATCCATCTTGGCGGAGATCCTCCTCACCTTCCTCCCCCATGCACATCAAAAATAAGATTTAGCCGTTTGCATAATGGGCAGGGAGAGGAACATTTGTGATCTGAAGAGCCAGAAATGAAAAACTGCACGCAGGTTGTCCCTAAAACTTGAGGCAGCTTTAGTAGTTCTTGCCTAGTACTGATTCCTCGTGTAATTTTGGGTAAGACCCTCTTATTCTCTGAGCCTCGGTTTCCCCTATCTGTACCGTTAGAGGGTGGAACTAGATCACCTTCTAGGTATTTCTACCTGTGGTTTTGTTTCTGTTGGAGCATGGTTTTGGTATAGGTGCCTTGGTCTCCCAGAGTATAGGTTAAATGTATGCAGAGGGAGATTTGGAGAGAGGGAGGAAGATGAGAAATAAGCATTTGCATGAGCAATGGACCGAGGAAGTCCAGGGAAATTAGGTCTGGTCCACCAGGTCTGCCCTTGTGACCTTCACCAAGTCATAAATGGGTCCTAGTTTCTTCATGGAATAGAGGGGTTGGATATGTACTGGTGTATATCAAGGAATATTGTATTGGAGAGTTAAAAGAGAATCTTCTGAGTTATGTTTAGAGTGACTACGGGGTATTTCCAAGCCCTTGGAAAGTAGATTGGGGCAGAAGTTGGTCTGGGATTCAGATTTAGGCCTGGTTCCAACTAGAACTAACAAGGACATCCAAAACCATAATCAAGTTTATAGGCTTTCCCAAGTCTTTTCCAGCCTTTCTGGGCTTGAAATCTGAGACAAGGCAAGGGTGACTGCCCCTTGAAGGATATGTTGTTGGGCAGTTTAAAGGGCCCTTATGTTGTTGGGTCCTTAAAAAGCATCCCATGAAGCAGACTCTTTCATCTTAGTATGCCATTCATTCATTCAACAGATAGATTTGCCTTGCATTCGTTCTCCATACTGAAAGCACAGATACAAAAATGAACAAGATGTTATCCCTCCTCTCAAATATTACACATTCATAATATAAAGAAAGGAAGATAACTTAATAGTATTTTCGTAGTCTTAGTTTACTCGTAAAATTGCAATATAAACATATACTTTGTTCTTGAGATTTTTAAATTGCCTTGCTATATAACATAACTAATTCTTAGCCTTATTGGGATCAATCACCCTAGTCAAGGGCCATAGTTGACTTCAGCTTAATATCCTCCAGACTCATACCCATTTGTATATATGTTCTCTGCATATTTGGTATATATGTTTAATATACATGTACCATGTTTCCCCGAAAATAAGACAGGGTCCTATATTTATTTTTCCTCAAGAAGACACCCTGGGCTTATTTTCAGGGGATGTGTTATTTTTTTTAAGTACGGTACAACAATCTACATTTATTCAAATATAGTTAAGTCGTCTTCTTCTGGAACATCATCCTAACTCTCCAAACCCCAAATTCCATCCTATATTTCTTGTGACTCTATTTCCTTTAGAACCATTGGCCCCAATCTCTCATGTCGAGCAATAGAGCTCTCATGGGGCAGATGAGAATGGCTGCTCGTCTTCACCACTCCACGATGAAATGCATGGGTTGTACAGATATGCTGTGTAGCCACACCCATCACTAGGTCTTATTTCTAGGGTAGGGCTTATATTATGCAAATGCTTAGATATCCTGCTAGGGCTTATTTTATGCGTAGGTCTTATTTTCGGGAAAACACAGTAGTATGAGCAAAATTAATACAGGTGAAATTGCTGCTTCCATTTATTTTATTTTTTTTTTTGAGACAGAATTTCACTTTGTTGCCCAGGCTAGAGCGAGTGCCGTGGCGTCAGCCTAGCTCACAGCAACCTCAAACTCTTGGGCTCAAGCAATCTTCCTGCCTCAGCCTCCCGAGTAGCTAGGACTACAGGCATGTGCCACCATGCCCGGCTAATTTTTTTTTTCCTATATATATTAGTTGGCCAATTAATTTCTTTCTATTTTTTAGTAGAGACGGAGTCTCGCTCTTGCTCAGGCGGTTTCGAACTCCTGACCTCGAGCAATCCGCCCGTCTCGGCCTCCCAGAGTGCTAGGATTACAGGCGTGAGCCACCGCGCCCGGCCTGCTTCCATTTATTATTACTGTTAATTTCATAATCATGCTAGTAATGATCATTTATTATTAACAGTTTTCCAGGTTGAAGTGAAGACTTTATATGCACTAGTTTTTGTAGAGATGCAGTATAGTATACTTGTCAAGAGCAGGGCCTCTGGAGTCAGATTGCCTGGGTTTAAGTTTTGGTTCTGCCACTTATTTGTGATGTAAACTTGAGCAAGTTATTTAACATCTCTGTGCTGTACTTTTCACATTTGCAAAATGGTTATACAGGTTGAGTATCCCTTATTTGAAATGCTTGGGACCAGAAGTATTTCAGATTTTGGATTTTTTTTTTTTTTTTGGATTTTAGAGTATTTGCATTATATACTACTGATCGAGCATTCCTAACCTGAAAGTCTGAAATCCAGAATGCTCCAATGAGCATTTCCTTTGAGTGTCATGTTGGCACTCAAGAAGTTTCAGATTTTGGAACAGTCTAGATTTTGGATTTTCAGATTAGGGATGCTTAATCTGTCGTAACAGTAACTATCTCAGAGGCTTGTGGAATAGAATAAATGAGTTAATAAATATAAAGCACTTAGAGCACTTCCTCACACATTTTAAGTGCTATTTTTAATCTTCATAGAAGCTAGTGATAGAGTTATTATCCTATTTTACACATAGGAAACTGAGACTTAGGTTCAACAGCTTGACCAAGGCCACAGTAGAACTGTGATTCAGAACTAGCCCTAATTCAAATACTAATGCACTTCATGGAATCGAAGGATTGAATATGTACTGGTGTATATCAAGAAATATGTCACTGGAGAGTTAAAAGAGAATTTTCTGAGTTATGTTTAGAGTGACCATGGGGTATTTCAAGAGTCTTCTATGCTGCCCTCACTTCTCAGAATAAGCTAAACTGTCATTCGAGTATTAGGATTTATTTGAATTCTTAAAATAGAGTTGTTAAAATGCAATAAAACGATTTCTTCTTTTAGACATTTATATTCTGAACTAGAAGTCAAGAGATCTACCTAGTTATAATTTTGAGCAAATAATATTTCTGCTACTATTTTCCAGATCTTTAAATAAAAGGTTTATATGATGATTTTCAAAAGCTCTTCCATCTCAAATTCTAGGATTCATATATTTAAAAGAAAAATTGCCTTTTTCTCAAAAGCAGTAAACTCTGAAGTAAGTCAATGCTGAAGATTTTTGATGAACAGAAGTACTATATTATGAGTAAAATACAAATGTTTAATGATGCATTTACATATATTTTGCATATTAAAAAACAGATGTATAATTAACATTACAGTATACTTTTCCTAATTGTTGGAAATGTGAGAGTTATATAATCTTGGAATTTTGTAAAATATTTCTTTCTTTGTGAGGGAAAACTACACTTAACAATCTCTTTAATTAAACAAGGTCCGTATTTACCTTATAAATCTCTTTTCAATGCAAACATGCTTAGAGAAGAGATTAACTTGAGCATCTTTTCACTAATTACAGAGATTAAGAAGTGGCTGCCTGAACTATTAATATTTTTCAGAAGATACACATTACAAATCATTGAATACGGCAGTTCACCAAGAAGATCCTATTCATTTGCGGGTAAGTAAATTTTAAAAGTTATCTTTTCCTTATAATGTCCCATGAATACTCTTTACTTGGGAAGTATGGCTCTCTGAATATACCGGCTAAGAATCCAATCAGTTCTAAGCAGAGCCAATCCATTTATAGCACCTGCAGTTTCCAGTGACCTAGATCTATGAATGCCATCTGTCTTTAGTTTGATAATAGTGTTGAAAAATGGGTTAGGCTGGAAGATGTGAAGCCCTGCACCATCTATCTGTCCATAAACAACACAACATCCCAAGATTTTTGTAAACTATCCTGGACTTTTTCCTCTTAGCACATCTGTGGCCTCTTATAGAGAATTCTAGAATGTCTGAACTGGAAGGAACCTTCAATTTACTACTGCACAACAAATACTTTTGTTGTACAGTACTGTGCAAGCTACTTGATGTACAGAGATGAATAATGAGAGGGCTTATTCTTATGGAGCACATACTCTACTAAAAATCATTTAGAAAACCTGCCTAATGGGTACGATGAGCACTATTTGGGTGATGGGCACACCTGTAGCTGAGACTCAAGTATTACAAAAGCAATCCATGTAACCAAAAACATTTGTACTCCCTTAATATTTTGAAATTTTAAAGATCATTTAAAAAATCATTTAGTGCCCTAATTTTCTAGATGGTGAGGCTGAGACCCAGAGTGGGGAATGGAGCTATTCAAGGATAAACAGTGGGATGAGGCAGAGCTGGGGTACAGCCCAGGTGTCTTGATGCCACTCACAGTGTTCTTTCCACTGCATTGTGCTTTTGTACCAGTTACCTGTTCTTGCTAGGTCAATTCTGGCAAATTCTTGAAATGTAGGCTGAAATTCTCCTGGAATACTCTATTTTTTAATGATAATAGTATAAATGAGAACACTTAACTTGGTGAGTTTTACCTGCTATTCTCCATGTAGACAGTTCTTCCTAGAAGTAGGCTGGTCATACCCAGTGAAACTTCATCCCCTAGAACTTCTTTAAGCAAAACCCCAGAAGAAATAGGGACTGGGTATTCCCACTGCTCCATTTACTTCCCTCAGCTCTTTGGCGTACCAGGGAACAGCTAGTTGCAGAGGACACATGATCTATAGTATCTGGGATTGGCCCCTAGTCAGATTCTTTCAGTACCAGCAAATGTTTAATGTTTATGCTGGTCACATCTTCAGGCTTCTCATATTTTCCTCTCTGTTGCACAACTGGTTTAGGAACTGCACAAATTAGATGCTTAGGAGGGGTTTCCTGAATGAGTAAATGAATGAGCATCTTTGAATGTATAATTCATTCTCTTTCTTTTTAGTTCTAGTCATGTTAGTTGAGAGGGACAAGGCAAGTATACCTGGAATACATTTAATTTTTTTATTCTAATTATATCATCCAACATTAACATTATTTAGTTTCTAGGTTAGTAGTTCTCAAACTTTTTGGCCTCAGGACTTCTTGCCACTCTTAAAAATTGTGGACCCCCAAAGAGGTTTTGTTTATGTAGATTGTAGATTGGATTCATATCCCTGCTCTTCTACCATCTTTTGACATTAAAAATGATAAATTTTAAAAAATATTTACCTATTAATTATAAAATAACAATAATAAACCCATTGTATATTAACATAAATAACATATGAGAAATAAATATACTTTCCAGAACAAATGATATTATTTTATGTTTTTGCAAATCTCTGTAATATTTGGCTTGAACAGAAGAAAACTGGATTTGCATAACTGCTTCTGCATTGAATATATTGCAATATATTGTTTAAGTCAAAATACAAAAAGAAAAGCAGGCCTCACACAGAGTTGGAAAAGGGAGGTCTTCCAGGACATCTGGAGAGGCTCTCAGTTATCCCACGTGGTCCTCAGATCATACTTAGAGAACTGCTGGCCTAGGTCATTACCTATATTGTCTCATTTAATGTCATTATCTCTAGTATCGCCTTCATATTAAATATACTTCATGATTGTGGCACACTGATTTAGAGAAGTGCCACAATGAAATTATTTAAAAATTATCTGGCAACCAATTAAAGTTATAACCTTTTAGAATAACTGAGGCTTTTCTTTTTCAAGAAGCTTCACTAGTATAAATTATCTTTAATTTTTAATTACATGCTATTAGTATTTATTTATTGTGGTAGAGTACACATAACATAAAATTTATGATTAGTGACATTTAGTATATAGACAATGTTGTACAACCATCATCACTATCTAGTTCCAGAACATTTTCATCACCCCAAAAGGAAACTCTGCACCTATTAAGTAGTCACTTCCCATTCCCCTCACCCCAGCTCTTGACAACCACTAGTCTTTTTTTCTCTATAGATTTGCCAACTATGGATATTTCATATAAATGAAGTTATATAATATGTGGCCTTTTGTGTCTGGCTTCTTTTATGATGATATTTTCAGGGTTAACTCATGTTGTAGCATATATCAGTACTCCATTCCTTTTTATGGCTTAGTAATAATATTTCATTGTATGGATAGACCATATGTCATTTATTCATTGATGGACATTTGAGTTGTTTTCACCTTTTGGCCACTGTGAATGGTGCTGCCATGAACTTTCATGAACACATTGTTGTTTGAATACCTGTTTTCAATTCTTTTGGCTGTATACTGAGGAGTAGTATTGCTGGATCATATAGCAATCCTGTTTTTAACTTATTGAGGAACTTCTTATATATTTTTTGTTTTGTTTTGTTTTTGAGGCAGAGTCTCACTCTGTTGCCCAGGCTAGAGTGTGTGGTGTCAGCCTAGCTCACAGAAACCTCAGACTGTGCTCAAACGATCCTTCTGCCTCAGCCTACTGAGTAGCTGGGACTACAGGCATGCACCACCATGCCCGGCTAATTTTTTCTATATATTTTTAGTTGTCCAATTAATTTCTTTCTATTTTTAGTAGAGATGGGGTCTCGCTCTTGCTCAGGCTGGTCTCGAACTCCTGAACTCAAACAATCCGCCCGCCTCAGCCTCCTGGAGTGCTAGGATGACAGGTGTGAGCCACCGCGCCCAGCCAAGAACTTCTTTTTATTTCTGTTTCTGTTTGTCTGCTAATGCTTTATTGGAGGCTACAATCCCAGGGCTGTAAGAGTGAAGCAGGGAAAAGAAAAAAAGCAAATGTACAGAATTAGTCTTTTTTAAAAAAAAGAATATAATTTTAACATAACAATACTAGTAATTTGGCCCAACAAAATTAACATTATTTATTATTCTTTTTACTAAACAGGGAACACAACTTCCAGCAGCCACAAGGGATGCTGCTACTCAGATGCCAACCGAAACGAGTACCTCCGCAGAAGGTTTTTTGTAGGTTCTGTGCGGGGATGGGGAAACTACAAAGCAAACTCAAACATGGCACTTATAAATACAGGTACAGCAATCCTACCCTGGGATCCCAAGTTTTATTATGCCCCATTAAAACTCTCCACTAAAGAAAGAGAAGACCCAGGGCAAATATTTTCTTTTCTTTTTTTTTTTTTTTTTTTTTGAGATAGAGTCTCACTGTATCACCCAGGCTGGTCTCAGACTCTGAATTCCTGGGCTCAAGTGATCTTCCCGCCTCAGCCTCTGAGTAGCTGGGACAACAGGGGCGAGCCACCACACCTGGCTAATTTGGTCTGTTCTCTTTTAAGTAAGAAACAGTCAGCTTATTAGCTAGTATTTACACCCACACACAGAAGGGCCCTGCATCTTTGGGATTAATCTCTGTGTGAGCAAAGACTCCTGACTTCTTGGCCTCAGGATTCCCCTTTATCAGATTCTAATCATTCAGTCATTCTGTATACTTTCAGAGTAAATAATACCATTGCTGACAATGTCAGTGAATCTCCTTTCTCTACTCCTTTTTCATCTTCCTTCTTGCACCAGCCTGAATTACCACCACCTTAGCCCACATTCTCCTTCCCCTTGCTCCCCGTTCTACTCCCATGCTATTGGTCCTCTCATGTTCCATCCTCTCTTTAGCAGGCCCGATGGAATTATAGAAGAGAGAATTCAAACTAAAGTTTTTCAAGAGTATAGCCCAGCTCATGTGGATACCGTCTCTGCTGTTGCTGCTCTGAACTCAGACCTTTGTGTCTCCGGAGGAAAAGATAAGGTGGGGTTTGCAGGGTTTCCTGGGAAACCAACTGATTGCAGGGAAGGGAAGCTATTTTGAAAGAGGGCTAGGGTTTCCGTTGCTGGCAGCAGAGTTGACTAGAGTAAAAATAGTCTAGTCTTCAAGTTAGAAAGACTAGGTTTAAATCCCTACTTGGCTACTTTCTATTACTTAGGGTAAATATTTAAAATTTTTGAGCTTAGTCTCTTTATCTGTTAAGTGGGTATATAATAATGCCACTTCATAGGACAGTTGTAAGGATTAAATAAGAGAACACAGGTAAGACCCTTAGCACTATGCCTGACCACCCACATGCTTTTTATAAATGGCAAGGATTATTCTTCCAGCCAATCCCTTTTTACATCTACAGGCAGACACAGAAGTTATTTATCTGCAAAAGGAACTCTTTAGTCTCTTCTTTTATGTTACGCTTTTGCCAAAATCTTTATACTTGTGTGGCATCATGATTCCTTCCTTCCATGTTTTATCCTTCCTCCCATTGTCACTTTGAATCTGACTGCTTTCTCTCCTTCATGTTTGGATCTATCATAGCCTTCACAGCTAGGATATTGGTAGCAAAAAAAACACTGATTGTTTTTATAGAGAATAATACTAATATTGCCTCTCATTTTTAATAGCCTTGAATCTTCATATTCCATTTGCATACTATATTTCACCAGTTATAAAATGTGTACATGTTTTCACATTTTAACACCGCTGAAGTCAGGGTACATCTCAGTATCATAGATTAATTGGCAGCATTTTGTCTTAAAATCTATATCATCTTATTTGTAAGAAATTTTATTTATATGAGCCTCACTCACACCAGTGAGGGGTAGATGGGCAAGGATTATCCTCTCTGTTTTATAGATTAGGAGACTAGGAATGGCTCTCTCAATAGCCCTTTATTTAGAAAGATGAGGTCAAGTATAACAAGGCTGGGTCCAGTATAAATACATGCTTCTTACTCTCTTGCAACGAACTGTGGAGACTTGGCCAGAAAATGCTTTAAAAATCCTGTTTAGGGAGAGAAATGCTTACAATGAGATGTTAAAGTATATACCTGAAAAAAGTATGGGAAGAAAATTTTAACAATGATCTTTTTTAGCAGATGGGATTACGGATGATTTTTTTTTTTGAAATTAAAAAAAAAGGTGCAATCCATTTCACAACAGTGTAAATATACTTAACTGTACACTTAAAAATGGTTAAGATTGGCTGGATGCAGTGATTTATGGCTTTAATCCCAGCATTGTGGGAGGCCAAGGCTGGAGGATCGCTTGAGGCCAGGAGTTCAAGACCAACCTGGGCAACATAGTGAGACCCTGTCTCTACAAAAAATAATAATAAAATTAGCCATGGTGGTGGTGTGTGCCTGTAGTTCTACCTACTTGGGAGGATAAGGCAGGAGGATTGCTTGAGCCCAGTAGTTTGAGGTTACAGTAAGCTGTGATCACATTACTACACTCCATCCTGGACTACAGAGTGAGACCCTATCTCAAAAAAAGAAAAAAAAACATGATTATGGTTATAAATTTAAAAAAAACCACATACAACTAAAAAAAATTATAATACAGTAGGGGGGAACCTAATCCTATGTAGAATTCTCCTTCAGCATCTATAGCCAAACTCTCAAGCTGAAACAGTCCTTGGGGAGTATTATCCCACTCTCATCAGTAAGGTTTAGAGGAGTGGCTCAATGTCTTAGGGAGAGACAGAGAAGTGATCAAGGGGAAAGAAAAGAAACTGAAAGGAAGGGAATGTGAGAAGGAGCATAACAATAAACCTCTAAGGCTCGAATCAAGTCACTTGACAGAGAGGGAGTTAGTGACTAGGGAGAAATTAAGGTGAGGATTGAAGTAAAGGCTAGTTTCAGATAAACAAAAATTCAGAGATTAAACTAAAATATTTTAATGACTCTCTGCAGACAGTTGTGGCCTATAATTGGAAAACTGGAAATGTGGTGAAAAGGTTCAAAGGACATGAACGTGAAATCACCAAGGTAATTGTCAAATTATTATTATTATGAAAGGAATTTGGAACTGAATAAAGGAATATCTAATAGCTCTAGATATTAAGAGTGATTGAATGTTCAGTCTTAAGGGAAAATGCAAGGATTTCATTTGATGTTGTGAAGCCGGGAAAAGCAGAGCAAACCATTCACTTAGCTGTTGCTACAGGTATACTGGACACAATTTCTCTTTGGTTATTAACCCTGTAATAGCTCAGGTAGTAAATAGAGAATAGCTGATAACAATTCTCCTTGACCTATCCTAATTTAACAGGGACATATTGAGGGCTTACTGTGTGTTTACTATAGCTAGAAAAATGACAAAATCCCTATGCTCAGCAACCTTCTAGTCTAGCTGGGGAAGTTTTTAAAAAGTCAACAAAAGTAAATAACTATTCATTTGTTAAATAGCTTTACAGGCTGGGCACAGTGGCTTACACCTGTAATCCTAGCACTTTGAAAGGCCAAGGTGGGAGGATTGCTTGAGCCCAGGAATTTGAGACCAGCCTGGGCAATCATGTCTCTATAAAAAGTAAAAAAAGCTTAGCCGGGAGTGGTAGCATATGCACGAAGTCCCAGCTACTCAGGAGGCTGAGGTGGAGGCTCAGGAGCCCAGGAGTTTGAGGTTGCTGTGAGCTGGGCTGATGCCACGGCACTCTAGTCTGGGTGACAGTGGGAGACTCAAAAAATAAAAATAAAAAAAGAAATGGTGACCTGGTGGCAGACTAAGCATATGGAATATAAATGAAAATAAAGAGATAAAAATAATTGGCAAGAAGATGACAGATGTGGAAAGCACACAATAGAGATCTAATATACCCCCATAATTGGTGTTCCTAAAAAAGAGCAAAACAAATGAAGTAAAAAACATTTAAAGAGAAAATTAGAAAAAAAAAACTTTACTCAAATGAAGGAAAATTTGAAAAACTTGATGCATAAAATTGTTTAAGGGCTAATTGAGTACCAGGAAAATTAAATAATCTGTACTGAAACATATCCAAGCAAAGCGGTTAAACTTTAAATATAAAAAGTGAGTTTTGCAAGATCCTAGCAGAAGAAAAAGGTCACCAAAATGTAAAAGAAAAATTAGTTGGGCTTCAAATTTCTTCTCAGCAGCACCTGCTTCCATAGGACAGTAGAACAATGTCTATAAAATGGCAAGAGAAAGAATGTGACTGAATCCTTTATGCAGCCAGAGTGGTGTCCATTTTTAAAAGCAATAGAGGCCAGTGCGGTGGCTCACGCCTGTAATCCTAGCACTCTAGGAGGCCAAGGCGGGTGGATCACTCAAGATCAGGAGTTTGAGATCAGCCTGAGCAAGAGTGAGACCCTGTCTCTACTAAAAAAAAAAGAAAGAAATTAGCTGGACAACTAAAAATATATAGAAAAAATTAGCTGGGCATGGTGGCGCATGCCTGTAGTCCCAGCTATTTGGGAGGCTGAGGCAATAGGATCACTTGAGCCCAGGAGTTTGAGGTTGCTGTGAGCTAGGCTGATGCCACGGCACTCTAGCCTGGACAACAGAGTAAGACTCTGTCTCAAAAAAACATTTTTTTTTTTTAAAAGAAAAAAAGAAAATTTTTTTCCATAAGGGAGAGTCTGTACATATACTGTTTTCTTTCTGAAGTTAATAAATTGGGAATATAGGTTTAAGGATATTAATACATATATAAAGATATCAATTAGAAGATTTTAGATTATATATTTTTACATTAAAAATATAAAGGAAGGGAAGAAATAAATCTAAAAACAAATACGGAATTTCACAGAAAAGACAATGAAAACAAAGTGTTTTTTAAAAAACAATAGAAAAGATGAAAGAAACAAGACCAAACATATCTGTAATACCAATAAATGTAATTGGGATAAATTCACTTGTTAAAAGAAAGTACTCTTAGTTAAAAACTAAAGGCACCTACACATTATTTAAAAGAGACATATCTAGTGCAAAGCAGCTTAAAGATTGAAAGTAAAACAGTGAACAAAGATAGAACAGATATATATACACCCATGTTAATAGCAGCATTGTTTATAATAGCCAAAAGGTGGAAACAACCCAAATGTCTATTGACGTATGCATGGATAAACAAAATGTGGTAATATACATACAGTGGACTATTTATTATTCAGCCTTAAAAAGGAATGAAATTCTGATATGTGTTACAACATGGATGAACCTTGAAAACATGCTGAGTGAAAGAAACCAACACAAAAGTACAAATATTGTACAATTCCACTTATATGTGGTAACTAGAATAGTCAAATTCATAGAGAAAGAAAGTAGAATGGTGGTTCCCAGGGGATAGGGTAAGGGGAAAATAAAGAGTTATGGTTTAATGGATAGAGTTTCAGTTTGGGATGATGAAAAAGTTCTAGAGATGAATAGTGGTGATGGTTGTACAACAATATGAAAGTACTTGATGCTACTGTATTGTACATTCAAAAATGATTAAAATGGTAAGTTTTATGTATATTTTACCACAATTTTAAAAAAAGGAAACACCATGAAAGAGGTCAGAACAGGAAAGAAAAAGGTAAGCAAAGATATACAGGCAAATGCAAACAAACAGCAGGAGTTGTGATAATAATATCAAATAAATTTGTATTCGAGGTAAAAAGTATTAAATGGAACAGAGATTCACCTTAAATTCATCATGAGTACAACACAATTACCTGTTATAAGAGTGTTAGGCTACGATGGTTTCAAAGGAATTCTTTCAAATTCACAAAAAGAGATAGTTCTGATGCAGTTTAAACTGTTCCAGAGGAAAGAGACAGCTTCTTAATTCTTTTTATAAAACCAGTATAACATCAGTAGCAAAACCTGACAAAGAATATGACAGACCAACAAAAATCTGTATTAGATGAAATTAGATATAGCTTCAGATAATAGAAACTATGTAGTTGAAGGTTGATGTGGTGGCTCCAAAGTCATAAGGGAGCCAGGATCCTTCTCTTTCTTGTCTGTCATCAGAGTTTGGCTTTCTTCTTCAAGGTTATGTCCTGTTCACAAGATGGCGGCTGCAACTCCAGTCATCATATCTAATTTCAAGGCAGCAGGAAGAAGGGACATGAGCAACAGGTTGTGCCTGCCAGCTCCTTTAAAGAGTTTTCTAGAAGTCCCACTTCCACGTATATCTCAGTGGCTACCCCTTCAAGGGGGCTGGAAAATCAGAATTTATAGCTGAATGCATTGCCATACCCAATAATATAGAGGTTTTATTATTAAGTAAGAATAGGAAAATGGATGGTGGACATACTACTCACACTCTGCTCCCATATGTATACAAACATCATAAAGAAGCATCAGGAAATAGATTCTAGCTTTTTTAAAAAAAAGAATAGCATACTATGGCTAGCTGAGCATTATTCTAAGAATGTAGAAATAGTTTAATATTAGGAAATTAGTAAATATGATTCTCTATGTTAATTGGCCAAAGGGAGAAAAACATGATCATTTTAGTAAATCAGAAGATCCAGCATTCTTTCCTATGGAATCCCTGGGCAAAGTAGAAATAAATGGATCTTTATGTGATTAAAAATATAGAAAAGATATTTCTTTAAAAACAAAATGAGTGACATTATAACACAAAATAAGAGATAATATAAGGTGGTTCCATGATTAACGAGATGAAGTATGTGAGAGTGCTTTGTACACTGTACCCTTTTGGAGGGGGGATCCTGAAATGCCAAAGAAATCACACAGAGAGGAAGTTCTACAGGACCCCAAAGGGGAGCGATCCCATGGAAGTGAGATGGTCTGAGAAGGTTTCATGGAGGTGAGATTTTTAACCTTACCTTGAAGGACAGGAGGAAATCTGCTACTTAAAGAGGACAGGGTAGCACAACATGGATAAAGGTGGAAATTCAAACCAGCCTGTACTTTCCATTCATGGATTTCAAGTTTAGGTATTACTCTTTTAAAAAGTGTGTGTGGGGACAGAATTATATAGACCCATCTTTCCCCCATTTTATTTTATTTTATTTTATTTTATTATTTTATTTTATTTTATTTTTTTTAAAGATTTCATGTCTAAGCTTATTTCCCCCATTTTAAAGTCCAATCTAGCAAGCACACCAGAGCTATTTCAGTTTTGTTTTGTTTTCTACCTGAGCAGGTAGCCTGTATTCCCCAATCAAACCAGTTCTTCAGTGCCTCTCGGGACAGGATGGTCATGATGTGGGACTTGCATGGTTCCTCACAACCGAGGCAGCAGTTGTCTGGCCATGCCATGGTGGTCACTGGATTGGCTGTGGGTCCAGGTAAAGTAAAGTAGATCTCTTCCCAATACAGTTGTGCTTCAGAAAACCCCGTTCAAGCCTCTGCTCATGCTTTGTCTTCTTACCATTGTTTCCAAAGACTTGTCACAGCTGTGCACTGGCTCTCGGGACAACACCCTGCTTCTGTGGGATGTGGGGACCGGACAGTGTGTGGAGAGAGCATCTATCTCCAGGAATGTGGTATGAACTCAGACTTGGCACAGAGCAGGCAGAGGGAGCATGGGGGGAGGGAAAGGGCCAGGAGAGAGACTAGCCTTGGGTCCTGACTTTCTGTGTGACCCTGGCCTCTCAGGGTTATTAGATTAGGTGATCTCTTGAGTCTTCTGCTCCAGAGAATGAGCATTTTTTTTTTTTTTTTTTTTTTTTTTTGAGACAGAGTTTCGCTTTGTTGCCTAGGCTAGAGTGAGTGCCATGACATCAGCCTAGCTCACAGCAACCTCAAACTCCTGGGCTCAAGCGATCCTTCTGTCTACGCCTCCCAGTAGTGCTGGACTACAGGCATGCGCCACCATGCCCGGCTAATTTTTCCTATATATATTAGTTGGCCAATTAGTTTCTTTCTATTTATAGTAGAGACGGGGTCTCGCTCTTGCTCAGGCTGGTTTCGAACTCCCGACCTTGAGCAATCCGCCCGCCTCAGCCTCCCAGAGAGCTAGGATTACAGGCGTGAGCCACCACGCCCGGCAAGAATGAGCATTTATATTAGCATTTATATTAGAATTTAAAATAGTACTCTCATTTATTCCTTCAAAATATAGTAACTCCATTTCTTCTGTGGGCCAGACACTGTGCTAGGAACAGGGTTAGTGAACAAGGACACAGTTCCTTACAGGAACTCACAGCTTATGCTTACTGTGCATTCTGTATATGTAACATCATGCAGAGAGATAAGCATTACCTTCTGCTTTATGTATGATTTGCTCTGTTTCTGAAGGCTAATTTTCTGGTAGCAGCCTGGCATATAAACTGCACAGCCTTTGGGGTCAGCCATAACAAGGTTTGAATCAGGGATCAATCACTTACTAGCTGTGTTACCCCAAGAAAGCTACTTGTGCTCTTAGAGTCTCAGTGTCTTCACTTATAAAGTAGGGAGAATTATATCACCTGATAGGGTTCTTCAGAGGATGAAGTAAGATAATATATGTGAAACACTTGTCATTGTGCCTGACCCAGGGTCGATGTTCCTTTATTGGTCGTCAAATTTGAGTGATAGTCATTATTTATTTATTTAGAGAGAGTCTCCTTCTGTCATCTGGGCTAGAGTGCTGTGGTGCCAGCCTAGCTCACAGCAACCTGAAACTCCTGGGCTCAATCTATCCTCCTACCTCAGCCTCTCAAGTAGGTGGGACTACAGGTGTATGCCACCACGCCCAGCTAATTTTTTCTATTTTTAGTAGAGACAGGGTCTCACTTTTGCTTAGGCTGGTCTTGAACTCCTGACTTCAAGTGATCCTCCAGCCTTGGCCTCCCAAAGTGCTAGGATTACAGGAGTGAGCCACCGCACCCAGCCCATCTTTTCTAATTTTGCAAACAACTGTCAATGGCAGAATGTGCTTGCCCCATGCCCTCCATATTTGTGGAGGTTATTAGAAGACAATAAAATCCTGTTATCTTGAGTTGTGTTGAAAAGTGTTTCGTGCCTGTCCAGCAGGGGGCTGCAGGGATAAAAAGAAATATGATTGCTCTTGCTGAAACCCGTGAGGTGTTGGACTCAAGTTTCAGTGGTCCCACCTTATAACAAGGGCTGTTCTCCTAGCTGCCACCTGGCCAGCAGTTCTCTGCCACATGGCTGGAATTTCAGGTGCCTGCATGCATTTTGGTACTCAAAACTGGCCCAGCTATTACCTTGCTTCTGATAACCTAAGAGCTGCAGGTAGAGCATGAGTGATAGGCATCTGCAAAGCATAAAATCCCTCTAAGTCAAATTTACTGCCTCAGTATCCTTAACAAGAGGTGCAAAGATGCTAGTTAGCACAGTTTACATGAATTACAGCAGAAGACTGACTTTGTATAGAGAGGTTTTGAAAATTTTGCTTTTTTCAGGTCACTCACCTGTGCTGGGTTCCCAGAGAGCCATATATACTACAGACCTCTGAGGATAAAACCATCAGGTAGGCTTCCTGAGCAGCAGAGAAGGTGTTTCTGGTGAAGTTTGTGGCTCTCATGCTTACGTGACTCTGTTCTTACCCTATATCTCTGCATTGCTGTGTTCTTCCCAGGGCCTCCCACCCCTCTGCCCCTCACTGGTGCTGAGGCCTCTCTGATCTGGCCCCAGGGATCACCAGGGTAGAGACTGTATACAGGATATCAGGCCCTGAGAAAGCCCCTGTCCTGGATAGCTTTGAAGCAGCTGATTCAGCAGCTTCCACTGTGGGAATGTGTCCGGATTAACTTCAGGATCAGGCACTTGCTTGTCCTACCCTTCGGGCTGCCTGCTCTGCTTGCTCCCCCTGCATGGCTCCTGGCATTCTCAACTGCCCAGCCCTCAGCTAAAGCCCTCCCCAGGAAGCAGGGTCAGAGTCAGCATCAGAGAGTCAAACAAAGCCAGCACATCTGGAAACTTCAGATCTGAGAAGAGAGTCTACTTAGAAAATGTAGGAATGGCTTAAAGAGGTAAAAATAAGATAAGAGGCAAAACAAAACCCTCCTCAGTGGACCCCATGGCCAAGGCTGACCAAAACTCGTGAATCTCTTGTATCTGATTCTGAATGATGACTGCTTTTCTGTATCATAAAAAGTATCCTTTTAAAAACTTAAATCACAGGCATAGAAATATCCTCTTGTCCAGTGAAAGCAGTGACCCAAAGGACCAAATTAACTTGTACAATTAAGATGCTTGGTCTAAATTCCCATTAACTGATCTCAAAATAGAAAGAACTCAGACGTCATTCAATTTGGTTACTTCCTACCAGCTTTAGAAGCTCAGAGGTTGATCTGGTTCATGCTGCTGTTTTTAGGTAAATCATGACATCCAGTCTGACTGGCCTGAGTAGCAAAAGGCCAAGATTTTATGGTAGTGGGATATTACTGGTGTATTTCAGACACATTTACTACAAACTCATTTCCTGCTTGCATTTCTTTCAGATTATGGGACAGTCGGGGGCTGCAGGTAGCTCATATGTTTCCCGCAAAGCAGCACATTCAGACCTACTGTGAAGTCAGTGTGGATGGACATAAGTGTATCTCCTGCAGCAGCGGCTTTGGAGGGGAAGGCTGTGAAGCCACGGTAGGAAATTGTGTGGGGTCCGGGAATCTGGTTGCTGATGAACAAATCACTCTGGCTTCGTGCCTAAGCTGAGCTACATAGGCAGGCTCTGCTAATGGCTTAGGCCTATTCAAGGGCATACTGTGAGTGATCCTTCATATTCCAGATGCTGCTTTTAAGAAACAGTTATTAACCTAGGGCTCTCTGAATTTGCAGTAGAAAAGAGGAATGGGCTGAGAGTCAAGATAGGGAGGAGCTAAGCACAGAACCAGCCTGCTGATGTCCCTACTCCCACCAGAGCTTGGAAAGGGGAGGGACTGTTTGAAGAACCAAATGTATTTGCATTATACATGTGGCCACAGGAAAGGAAGTTGAAGCTCTTTAGGAAATTTGGGGCTCCAGCCTTGGTCCAGGACCCATACCATCCCTTACCCATATACCTTCTTTGCAGTAATTTGGGGATAGATTGCCTAGACTCCTCCCAAGAACCTTAGATCCATAATTGTAGAATATCAGTTAAAAGGGTTGTCTAGTATCCAGATAGAACAGTTACAGCTCCCATTTTATCAAATAATTATTATGTGCCAGGTACTGGGCTGAGCACATTACATGTACTATCTCATTTAATTCTTAGAAACAACCCCATAATTTAGGCACTATTACAGTTCTCATTTTACAGATGAGGAAATGGAGGTGTCATAAGTTGAAATCACCTTGCACAAGACCACACCCCTAATAAGTGGTAGATCAGGCTTTGCATGTAGCATCTTTTCTCCAAGATAAGCATTTCCAGTACTACAACTATTCCCTGGATGACACAGTGCCAGTGACTTCATTACTTTTTGGACACAATTCAGTTTGCTCTCCTCCTTGAACATTACTCTCTAGGTGTGGTCTGATCTATATTAATAAGAGTGGACTGGCAGCACTGACTGGCACATCCCTTGTTGTAGACACTAGTCTTCCATGTATCAAGTTTCAGTATCTAGGCATTAAATCAGAATGTCTGCATCTGCGTGTACTTATGAGAAGGTACTTCTAACTGCGGGGTTCCCATAGGACTCACTGGTGCCAAAAGGCTGCTGATAGAAGGCAGCTCTTGGGTTGTCATGAAAGCAAGCGACCCCATACTGTTCCATCATGCTATCGGACTGGGTGCTTTTACTTCCCTAGCTATGAAAAAGACAATAACTTTTCTGGCACATCCATAACCAGGGTTGTTTGGGACATAGTTGGTGCTTAAAATAATCATCGGATGGATGGGCGGTTGGGCATATGAATGGGATGGATGAAGATAAGTGGCTACGTGAGTAGGTAAGTGGAGGGAGTAGGTGGATCCTGGGAGGTGGGGAGATGGATATTAATGGATGAAGCTAGATAACTAGGATGTATGAGCTGGTCCATGTTGCTCCTTTGCAGTTGTGGGATCTAAGACAGACACGGAAAAGAATATGTGAATATAAGGGCCATTTCCAGACCGTTGCATCCTGTGTCTTCCTACCAAGAGCATTGGGCTTGATGCCTATAATTGCTACCTCATCACATGATTGCAAGGTGAAGATTTGGAACCAAGATACTGGAGGTAAGAAGCCTGCTGTCAGTGCTTCTTAGAAGGTACATGAAGTCCTAAAGGCTTTCTTAATACTCTTTCTTCCCATTGCTCAGCATGTACAAAGCGACCCATGTCCTGAGGCTGTCCAGTCTCCTAGTGGTTAAGTGATGATGTCAAGATGCCAGAGTCTCACTGTTCAGCCTCTGGCTAGAGAACATCACCATGTACTTCCTGGTACCATGTTGTATAGACTCATTCCTGAGAACTCAAATATATTTGGCTCTTATATTCTTTTCTACCTGAAGTTCCTCATTAGGTTTTAACTTGTAATGCTCAAAATGTCTGCAAAAGGGAACAAGAATGACCACCTTTTAGTTTTTTTTTTTAAAGACTAAATCAAAAGCCTCAGCACTTGGAGAGTGTGAAGGTAAGTTAGGAAAGTCTCAGAGTGCTTTTGCCCTGTTTTGACTCTGTAGCTGAGGTTTAAGATCACAGTAAGGTCATGACACCAGGGATAAAAGATGCCTTATGAAACACAGCTCATCAGAGTTCTTGAACTGCTGGGGCCACCTCCTACTGGCAGATTGTTAAATATTCAGGAATTTTGCGAGCTGGTTTTTAAAACTTTGGTAGCTTGAAATCTAGACACAGTGGGGGTAATTTACACTTTATAAAAATTGACAAGTGCTATAAGTAAGTGTTGTTTTTTTTCTTTCTTAGTTTACCAGCATGCCACTGCCTCCATGCTATTCTGTCCTGGACACAGGGTTCTGCCAGAAACAGGAATAGCATTAATGTAACCAACTTTAAACCTAAATCCCTTCTACAACAATCCTCCAGAATTTATCTCCTCTCAGGAGGAGATAGGGTATCTTCCTGAGAGAAAAAAGGCAGGACTGTGTGTAGTGACATCTGCAAACAGCTGTGGTGACAAGCCAAACTTTCATAGCAAGGACAGCCCTGCTGTACCCTCACCTGGAGTTGGCTTCTCCAACCGCCCAGGTGTAACAGTTGTGGGTGGTGGGGAGAGCAGATGTTTTAGATTTAGTGATCATATACCTAAGACCAGGGAGAACAAGGTCTAGAAGTATTGACCTATCTGGGTGGCACAAATGCCCTGCCCACAAGCGGTGTGCCCACAGTTCATAGAAGAGTGGCCTTTAGGATGCAGGTGGAGGCAGACTGCGTCAGCTGGAAAGCCCCAAATACTGCCTTTCTAGTTCCCTGCACTATCCTTTACCTCAAAGGGAGCAAGACCCCAGGAAGCCACTAGCTAAAAATCAATATCCTTGGCCATGTACGGTGGCTCACTCCTGTAATCCCAGCACTGTGGGAGGCCGAGTCAGGAGGATTACTTGAGGCCAGGAGTTTGAGACCAGCCTGAGCAACATAGTGAGACCCCATCTCTACAAAAAATAAAAAAATTAGCCAGGCATGTGGCACACACATGTAGTCCCGGCCACTCGAGAGGCTGAGGTGGGAGGATCCCTTGTTCTCAGAAGTTTGAGGTTGCAGTGAGCTCTGATGATGCCACTGCACTCTAGCCCGAGTGACAGAGTGAGACTCTGTTTCCAAAATAAGGAAAAAAGATTAGAATCCTTATCTGTTTTTCTCTGGCCCCTTCCTTGTTCTCTGGGTAAGTGACTGAAGGCACTTTTTTAACGTGTGCTTAGCCGGTGAGGCCCCAGTTGTCTAAACATACTTTTTTGTGGTATACATCCTATTTGGCCCATGTGCCACTCTCTACAACTGATGTCTTGGGGTAGACTCAGGTTCTGACTTGCCCACTGGTTCACTTTCCTCTGAAGCAAGCAGGGCCTGTCTTATATGGATTAAGTATATACAGGAAATGCTTTATTTCCTTGGATTTCTCACAAAGACATCATGTTTCATGACATTGCACTCTTGGCCTAATTTGCTCATTCCCCCTGCCTTCCCCAGCCTGCCTTTTCACCTTGTCTCTGGATGGATCAGGACCTTTGACTTCCCTGGCTGTTGGTGACACCACATCCTTACTGTGTGCAAGTTTCAACAGAGGAATTCACTTACTCAGAGTGGACCACAGCCAAGGGCTGGAACTGCGGGAAGTGGCAGCATTCTGAGACCAAGAGACACTCACTGGACAATATCAAACTGTGGCCCCTCCTTTCTCAGTGTGGCTTTGTGTCTTTGTTATTTTGTGGGGAGTGGAATGTAGAGCTGGTATTCTTTGATTAGTTTCACTTAGATGGTATATCAGTGTTAGAAGTCAGTTTAAGTCCAGCGGTTCAAAATCAGGTATAGAGTTCAGAAACATGGACAAACCTAAGGCTCTCAATTTCAGTTAAATGAAAATATAATTTTTTAGTGAGCTTTTGGAACTACTCGTCCAAAAAAGTTTATTGCCCAAAATGGTGACCTGTAGGTGTAAGAGTGGTAGGCACCTGTCTGTGAGAGTCAGAACACAGGGCTTGAGTCTATGGAACTGATCTTTTCCATGTCTCCACAAAAGAAAAAAGGCAGTAGGGAGAGAGACTGTTTTGGTTACCTCAAAAATAATCAAGATGGGAAAGAAAAGTGCAGCTCCACAGAGGAGCCGGATCGCACAGTGAGCTCAAGCTCCAGTCGCTGCTCCTCAGCAAAGAGAAAAATCAAAGTTAGGGCAAGAAAGCAAAAGGCTTGGCTTCTACTCAGAGTAGTAGCAGAATGGGCGGTGGTGATCTCTGCCTGTTTTTGGTACCTGCCTAGCACAGTGCTGCTGAGCTCACGTGTAAGTCAGACCTGAGCTATCGTGAAGAGGCCAACAACTACAAGAGTGTTGCCCAGAGTTACAGGAGTTAGCAAACCCCTTCTATGGATGAGAAAACGGAGAGGTTGTGAGATTAAGGCCAAAAAAAATATGTCATTTGCAATTTTAACATTTTTATTTAGTTTTATATAAATAAGACTTTATATTATAAAATATACATGTATATATATTTATTTGTTTGTTTTTCCCTTGGGAATGGCCAGAGTGAGGCAAAGGAGATCTCTGAAATAATAACAGACAGTATAGAAAAAAAGGAGAGGGAAGCTGCATGTGGTGGCGCACCTGTAGTCCTAGCTACCTGGGAGGCTGAGGCAGGAGTATGGCTTGAGCCCAGGAGTTTGAGGCCAGCCTGGGCAGCATAATGAGTCCTTGTCTCTTTAAAAAAAAGGAGAACGATGGCGTTAACTGTGCTCAGCCATTGAGCCTGATTCAGTGAGGAGCAGCAGGGTGCTCAGGCTGCCTGTGTGGCCCCTGGGAGTCAGTCCTTAGCCTGGTGTTCAGCCCATTTTCCTCCAGGGAAAATGAAGTCCTTCCTGCCTTCAGACAAGCTCACACATAAGGCATGTGAGGGCTAGAGATTCCCTTTCTGATGAGTCCCAGACAAAGGAAGATTTTGTGTTTGTCTTCTCTGGCCTCTGCCTGTCCCTGACACCAGTGGCTCTCAGGTGTCTTCCTTGTCCCCTCCTGCTTCAGGTCCAGCTCCTGCCCTGTGCTGTCTCCAGTGACGGGAGGAGAGAGAGGTGGCTATTCTTCAGCTAGTACAAAGTCAGACCCAAGAATCTCCACTTCTCCATTTAGCTGGATGACCTTGGGCAAGTTACAAAAAGCTCAGTTTCCTCCTCACTTAGAATATGGGCTCACCGTCACACCTCTCTCACAGGGCTGTTCTGAGGACTGGACTTAACCATATTAAATGCCAAGCAAAGTAGTATAGTTATTTCTTGTCCTCTCTGTCCAGACTAAATGCCCTCATTTCTACATTAAATGTTTCCATTCCTTCATCCATTCTTCTTAGATCTTCTAACCCTCTAGTCATTTTTCAGCTTTCCTTTGATTCCTTCAGTTATGGATCTTTGAGCTCTGGAAAGACAAAGGGGTAGTGGGAGAGGAGACTGCTTCAATGAGCACCCACAGAAGGCTGGATACATTTATTCTCACTACAATTCTCATTGTTATTTCTGTTTCACAGATGACAAAGCTGAGGCCCAGAGACATGCAGTTCTTTGCCCTAGTTCCACATATTCGACGGGGAAAAACTGAGCTTTGAATCTGGGTCTGCCTGACTCAAAGCCAGAACACCTTCTTTGCACCCTTTTGCCTTTGCATGATATCACAAAGATTTCCTGTTCAGTTTAGAAATTCATAGACCATGACATTGTTTGTATATTTTCAAGATCAGTTATTAACTTTTTGGCTCCAAGGAGATCTTCCTGGCCAGGTGCCCAGGGGCAGTAGACAGCTGTCTCAGGGAAAGTGCTAGCATATTCTGAATTATTAGTGCAGCAGCTGACACTTTCTCCTAGAAGGAAGACAGGTGCACGTCAGAATGTCCAGAGGAGTTGAGAGGGGGTCCCAGGGAAGGGGGACAGGCTACTATAAGAGGGAAGGGTCATGTGAGAAAATAGGAGACCTCTGATGAGTTAGCAGGGTTCTACTACCAATAAAATTATTTCCCAAACTCTACATGTATGCTTGATGTCTTTATGCCTTTTAAGTAAAAAACAGATAAATAAATGCTAGTGTTTATAGAGGACTTTTTTAGTCTGATGTGCCCTAATCAAATACCCCCAGCACTGAAGATACAGGCTGCTAAACATTCATTCATTCATTCACTGAACAAGTCATTTTAGAGGCTGCCCCTCTAAAATCATATCAAGGAATTTTCCAAAGACAGTTGACTTTTTTCCAGGAAAATATATAAGCCTTGGAATCTGGCCAGTTATACATTTTAAATTTTAGATTAATTTAGATGTTTACTTATATATTTATCATTTAAATATATATTTAAGGAAAATGAGTGATGATTATTAACATTTTTCATTTTGACATAGCAAAGCATGAAACTCACATCACTTGGTGTTTTTAATCTTTTGATACCGAGGAAAAGGAACTTCTTTATTTTCAAGTGACCTCTTGAAAACATAATTATTAAAGAGCAGCTTCACCATTAAAAATGTGGTAGACTGCTTGCTAGTTGTCTTCCTGAAATTGGCACATTTCCTTGGCATAGGCTGCTCAGCTAAGACTACATCCCAGCTAGGCATGCCATGGGAATAAGTTCTTGTCAGTGGATTGTGAGTAGAAGTGATGTGTGTAACTTCCACCTAATTAGCTTGGGAAGAATAGCTTGTCCAGGACTCCCTCTCTGGGTCCCTCCCCACTAGATGGAATGCAGACTGGCAGTAACAGCTTCAATTCTTCAGAAGGACAAGATAATTAACAGCCAGACAGAAAGAATGGGGGAGGACATGAATAAATGAAAATGACTAACCTAACCCTGAGGAACTGGCCTGCTTCGCCAGCCTGACTGGCAGGACTGTTACCTGAAAGGGAATGAACTTCGCTCTTTTTAAACCACTATATAATTTTTTAACTTTTAATTCAAGAATGGTAATATAAAAAAATGTCAGATGTATAAGTTTATAGCTCACTGAATTTTCATAAACTGAACACACTCTAGTAGGCAGTACCAAGATGAAGCACCATAATATCCGGGAATCCAGATGGTCTCCCTCGTACTCCTCTCCAGGCCTATCTGGCAAGGAATTTGTAAGAGCACAAATTGATTTTGCTTGCTTTTCTACTTTATGTAACTGGAATCATATCATATTGTAGATGGACGACAAATTTCTCCATTCCTGTATGCAGGATCCTTTGCTCTGTGACTTCTTCTCATTGAGAGTTAGGGTCTATTTCCACAGCCCTTGAATCTGGGCTGGCCTTTTGACTTGGTTTGGCCAAGAGAATGTAGGGGAATGAATACAATGCAATTCCTGAAGTTAGGCCTTAAGAGAATATGCAGCTTCTACTTTCACCCTCTTGGAATGCTGCCCTCAGATGGCCACGTAATGAAGGTGGTCGAGGCCACGTGGGCAATAACCAAGCACCACTGGAAGAAGGTCATGTGAATGAGGTCACCTTGGGCATTCCCACCCAGCCAAGTCTGCAACCGACTGCAGCCTTATAGGTAAACTTGGCAAAATAAAGAGAAACTGCACAGATATTCCAGGATCTGATGAGAAATAATAAGATGTTGTTTTAAGACATTAAGTTTTGGAGGGGCTTGTCATACAACAATAGATTTAAGTGAAACAAGTATGTACTCTTATTTTTGGTTGTGATTCTTTTGCTCAATGTGTTTATGAGATTGAGCCATGTTGTTGCATGTAGTTGAACACCTTTCATTCTCATCGCTGTATAGTATCCCATTGTGTGAAAAGATTGTAATTTATCTATTTAATTACTGATGGGCATTTGGGGGTAGTTTCTAGTTTGGGACTCTCACAAAAAAGCGCTGCTATGAACATTCTAATAAAATGTCTTTGGGTGAACATATGCATGTATCTGTGTTCATGATATAACTAGCAGAGGACTTGTGGGGCCATAGGGGAATTTATATGATCAGCCTTAGTAGATACCATCAAACAATTTTCCAAAGAGGATGGTACTATTAGATTATTAAATATGGAATGTCCCATTTCCTTAAGTACTAAGTTTGACAGGTGCTATCTCTGACATTTCACTTTGACACTTATTTTTTTATTGTGAAGGTACATCCTCATTGTTTCAAATGTATGTTTTGGCTTGTGATTATCTTTCAAAAAAATTTTAGAGCAATTTTTGTAAAACCATGCATAAGTCAAAAATTCATATTATTTTTGATTATGAGTTCTGTCATGAAACCAATGCAGCGAAGACAGCTCAAAATATCAATGAAGTGTTTGGGAAGGATGTGGTTAATGAATGCACAGCATGTCAATGGTTTGAAAAGTTCCGTCCTGGTGATTTCAGTCTTGAAAATGAGCCATGTGGGTGACCTGAGACCAAGGTAGATAATGATAAGATGAAGGCTTTCTTTGCTGTCACAACATAAAGGCGAACCATTTCTACACCATATTGTTATGTGTGATGAAAAATGGATTCTTTTTGACAATTGCAAGCATTTGGCATAATCGTTGGATAAAGATGAAGTGCCAAAATTCACGGTCCAAAACTAAATATTCATCAAAAAAACTAATGGTGTCTGTTTAGTGGTCCAGCACTGGTATTATCTACTACAGCTTCATGAAACTTGGTCAATTGATTACAGTGGATGTCTACTGCAACCACTTGGATGAAATGATGAGGATGCTTGCGATTAAGCAGCCGAGATTGGTCAATAGAGACAGGCCAATCCTCTTGCAAGATTACCTGTGGCAAAAAACAACACTGCTCAAACTACAGAGGCTGGACTTGGAAACTCTCTGTCATCCACCATATTCACCAGACCTTGCACCAACTGACTACCACTTCATCCAGGCTTTGGACCACTTTCTTGCAAGGAGAAATATTCAATTCTGAACAAGCTGTGGAAAACACCTTTCACGATTTCATGGCCACTCAACTTTCCAGGCTTCTTTGTTGCAGACATAAGCAAGATACGGTTAAGACGGCAAAATTGTGTCGATAGTTTAGGCACACACTTTGATTAATTGTACTTCTTCTTGTTTGAGAAAAATAAAATAAAATTCTGATTTGAAATCAGACATTTCGTATTTAATGACCTAATAATTTACTTCCCACCAGCTGTGCTGGAGAGTTAGTGGGGTTTCAGTTGTTCCACACTTTTGCTGACACTTTGTCCTCTTGACTTACAACTCTCAGTTTTAAAGATGAGTGTGTAGATGTTGCAGAGTGCACCAGGGGAATGTTGGCTCTGTGAGCCAACAACAGAAGAAAGCTGGGACAACTGGTTTTGGCATCAACCTTTCTCCCTGATGCCTCCAGTTAAGAGGCCAGAATTTAACAATACAATTGCATATGTATATAGTGCTCTATATTTCACATACTACTTTCATAATCATAATCTCATCTGAGTCTTCCAATAAAATAAGACTCTCAGGCAATGTGGAGAGTATTGCCTCTGTTCTACAGAGAAGAAAAGTGACTTGCCCAAAGTGACACAGCATGTGTCAGAGCTCAGATGGGAGCTCAGGTCTTTGGACGTGCAGACTGGCTCTTCCCACCAAGGCCTTCTACTTTCAATGGCATTTTCCTGCTGGTAGTGGGCCCAGAGACTGAGAGGACAGCAGGCAGCAGGTAGGAGGTGTTTGCTCCTATGCAATAAGTGATATAGGTTTAAACACCACAGACAGAAGGAACATACAAACCACTCCCACATGTTCTCGCTCCAGGGTCTGAAACAGAGCATCCTGCCTATTTAAATTAAGGTTCTGCACGCAGCAAATTGAAAAGCCCAGCTTTGGGTGATGGAGGTTGGTGTCAGTTGGCACTGCATGTCCAGATACTGGACTCAGTTCATCTGGAAATAGGTTTTTGGTAACTGGCTAATTTTACCTGACTGATAACCATGCAGATATCTAAAATAAGGCTACATGGAATGCTACCTATGATTCACCCTAAGTGGAAAACACAGATAAGAAAACACTGCTATACAACACAGTCCCATTTTCATAAAAATATATCCATACATATGTCTGTACATTCGTAGCTAGAGGCAAAAATATTGACAGCATTATATCTGGGTATTGAGTTTAAAGATGAATTTATTTCCTACTTTATGCCTTTCTATATTGTTTGACTTTTTTCCAATAGGTATGTGTCAGTTTCATTTTTAAATTTATTTTTGAAATAGATGATACATTCACATAGCCACCATCAAGAATACTAAGGTTATACAATAAAAATTCTCCCTCTCATCCCTGTCTGCCTTCCCTCGGGCTCCCTCTACAGGTAACCGGTGTGACCAGCAACTGGTGTATCCTTCTAGAGCCATTTCATGCATATACAAGCAAATACGTGCTTTTTTCTACTATCACTTTTACAATCAAAAGACAATAAGACTACCTTCATTTTGAAGAAAAGGCTGTAGAAGACTATTTTACGATGTAGAAGATAAGTGAAAAAAGAGGCTATAAAACAGTACATAGAGTATGACATGTTATAACTTATGAAGAATGTGTTTTTCTATATTTCAAATATAAAGAGACAGAAAAGTGATATATCCAAATGTGTGGGTGATTATCTCTGTGCACAGGATTTCAGGTGAGTTTATTTTCTCCTTATAGGGAGCAGTGGGGCCTAGTGGTTGAAGGACTCTGGCACCCGGCTGCCTGATACAGATCCCAGAATGCCACTTCCTAGCCTTGTGACCTTGGGCAAATGACTTAACCTCTCCGTGGCTTAGTGCCCTCATTTATAAAGTGGAGAAGATGATGATGGGACCTCCCTACAGAGCTGCCATCAAGGCTAAGTTATAAAATTCAGGTGGAGCCCCCAGAATAGTTCCTACCATTGTTTGTAAGTGTCAGGAATTAATATATTCATCTTCGTATCCTAATTTTCCTATATTGGACATGCACTATACCAATAGTTAAAGAATAAATTCCCCTTAGAGAAGAGAAGCTGTACAGATATAGAGAGGGCACAGAGGAGAGAGGGAGTGTGGCCATAGAGAAAGGGCAGAGACCAGGAGGCCTGAGGAGGAATAGAAGGAGAGTCTGCAGACCCAGAGAGGAGGGCAGTCTCTGGTTTCCTGATGGAGGCATTATAAAAGCCCTGGGAGAGTATCCCTTTGCCACCGTTGCCAGCCAAGCATGACAAGAGCAGATGGACCCTGGCCCAGTAGCCTTCTTTCCTGTTATTTGGAGAAGACCTTTGAGGCCTTCCTGGAAGCTCCCCAGACCTTCCCTGTGCAAACAGGCCCAGCCTACTCTTTGCCAAGGTATTCCCGGCAGAGCTCACCGAGAGAAAGGCTTCAGGATAAGCGTGGGCACTCACCTTCTGAGGGCCGGTTCCTGCCACCGTCATGTGGCTGGAAGTCTGGAGGGCTGAAAGACCAGATGCTTCATTCACAGACCAGCTGGAGAAAGCGCTGGCCAATTTCTGTTCTGTGTTTCTAAACATACCAGCCGTCATGTGCAGACGGTACTTTATCCTTCATCCTTCAGCCCCATCTCTGCAGTCACGCATGGTAGCTGAGAGGGCCCAAGAGCTCACACACACTGTCCTCAGGGAAGGGGTGAGGAAGGCACTGGACTCCGGGATCCAGCCTCAGCTCTGACATGTAGCCTCCAAGTTAGCTAGGAAAAATGCCTTAACTTCGCCAAAAATCAACTGTTCCTCAAAGAATTGTTTGGGTTGAGCTGAGAATAACCATGCCAGATGTGACCTGCTTGATAAGATGAAGTATGTGGGCTACTTTACATTTGAAGACTATCAAGATCATACAGTTCCTGCTAAGTCTGAGGTTAACAAGGCTGGGAAATAGTACTGTATCAGTGTTTCTAACTTTATGCAGTTGACACATTCTAAAAGTGAAATAATAAAATAGTCCATAACCCTTATCTACAATTCTAAAATCCCCACATTCTGAAAACCAAGATTTTTCACTAAATTTGGTGCCACAACTTACCTGATCTTATGGTGTTTATTATTTTGGGTATCAGTGTTCACAATAAACCGCAGAATAGTAATGTGTTTGACTGCAGGGTGCTGCCCCAGATCTCATGGGGGGGGGGGACGGTTACTTAATATATAGTAATTGTATCATCTCGTCTTCCTAAAATATGGAAATTTCTTAATTCTGAAACAAGCTTGGCCCCAAAGGTTTTGCATAAGGGATTGTAACTTAAAAAGCAAATTCAGATGATGCACAAAGCACAGTCAGGGGACCCCCATTCCCAGGTTGGGATTCTCTGAGCCCTGTCTGGGGTGGCAGGTCCTCGGGAAGCCTTCAGGAAACTGAAGATGAATATATTCAGGATGAGGCAAAGAGCACAGAGTGGAGATATTTCTCCTAAACCAGTACTCCTCACATTTTAATGTGTCTCTGATTCCCTAGGGATCTTATAAAAGTGCAAATTCTGGGCCAGGCGCAGTGGCTCACGCCTGTAATCCTAGCACTCTGGGAGGCCGAGGCGGGCGGATTGCTCGAGGTCAGGAGTTCAAAACCAGCCTGAGCAAGACTGAGACCCCCGTCTCTACTATAAATAGAAAGAAATTAATTGGCCAACTAATATATATACAAAAAATTAGCTGGGCATGGTGGCACATGCCTGTAGTCCCAGGTACTTGGGAGGCTGAGGCAGAAGGATCACTTGAGCCCAGGAGTTTGAGGTTGCTGTGAGCTAGGCTGATGTCATGGCACTCACTCTAGCCTGGGCAACAAAGCAAGACTTTGTTTCAAAAAAAAAAAAAAAAAAAAAAAAAGTGCAAATTCTGACTCATTAGATCTGGAGTAGGTCTGAGCGTCCGCATTTCAAACAATGTCCATGTGATTCCTTCTGGAACTGTCCTAAACTCTGGACAGGCCTCCACAAGGCTCTGAGGGATGACAATCTGGTGTCCTCCCAGGGAGAGTCGCCCCTGCCCTTGGCTAGAGCTTGCTAAACACCGCCCTTCCCCTCCTCTATATCCTTCTGCCTTCTGTTCTCTCTCCCTTCCCGGATGGGCTAACACCCCCTGTGCCTCTGCTGCAGACCTTGGCTGGGCTCCACTAAGTCTCATGACTCTCCACTCACCCAATTCCAAGGTACTGCTTAGGTGAGGTGCTTTTCCAGCTGGCTAACCTCGCCCCCTAAGCATGAACTAAATTAGTTTAACTCTCAAATTCCTGAGATGCCCCACTATCTTTTCTGGATATCTCCTGGAAAAATTTTCCACTGTTTGCAAACTACTCCTTAGCCCTGACCACCCACAGGCACTGTGATAATACATTTACTCACCAAACAATTAGTGACCCCGGAAAGGGCCATGGCTTAGTTTTTATTTCAATGCTTGCAATCCCCTGACTGATTTCCTACCTGCCCTACCTGCCACTTAATTTCCAAGTGTATTTTCTTAGTGCAAAAGTCATACTTATTTGAGAATTTAGAAAATATAGATGAGCAAGAAAAAAATAAGAATGCTAGTAGCCATCACCCAGAGATGACCATTGTAACATTTTGACTCATGGCCCTTCAGTCCTTAGACATTAACTTAACTTCACAAAATCTGGCTCATACTACATACACTGTTTTAAACGGCTTCCCCCCACCTCCATTTGCAGTATTAATATGTTTGACCATTTTTGCAAGTGAAAAAAATTCTTTCACAACATCATTTTAAATGATTATGCTTTGGGGATGTTTCCAATCATTTGTGGTTAAAATAAAACTGCAGTGAACATCCTCATTCAACCAAAAGAGATCTTTCAATACTTCTTGAGAATTACGTTATTGGGTCAAAGTATATGAACTTCTGCATGGTTTGCACTACTATTGCCAAAGCAGAAAGCATGACTTCTAAACTATCAAACACAAACCAGATCTTCTGGACTAAATCAGTGTCTTCAATCCCCACTAACCTTAGTTAACCGGCACTGACATGGGAAAGCAGGGAATTCCAGAGCTGAGAGGAACCTCAAGGCCTTCGACAATCACATGCCTCTGTCTCCAGCTCAGAAAGAGGAGAACTGCTTAGAGATCTTCTTTAGAAATCTAAAATTTCCCCAAGTCCACAATTATTTTTCACACAATTCTAGGCTACGTTAAAATCAGTAATCATTTCAGCATTTACTCTTCCATCCAATATTTATATACTTAAAAAGAGGGGATTAGATCAATAAGGGATTGGTTTGCCTTTCAATACAAACATGATATAACTATTAAAAAAATCAAAGAAGCTCTTTATGTACTAATACAAAATGATATCTTAGATACATTTTTACATGAAAAAATGCAGAACAGTGTTTATAATACATATACTGTGTAAAAAGGAGGAAAAGAAATACAGTGACATTTTGCCATGGAAATCTTGTTTGTGTATGCATAAAACATCTTTGGAAGGATACACAAGAAACTGATACACAAGAACTGATAATATAATACCTTGATTTCTAGGGAAACTAGGTGGCTAGAAGAAAGTTTTCATTGCAAAATCAAATCTTTCACATGCTGAACCACATGAATGTATTACCTGTGAAGGAAAATAAAGATCTTAGAACCAAGCTCCCCCTCCAACTCCTTTTGCAAAAGAGAAGGTAAAGGTCTCAGGCACCTGTGAAGGACTTGCCCACAGATCATTGGTAAGGAAATTCTTCACTGGCCTCCTATAAGCAAAGATGTGCAAATTATAACTTTGGGTCTGTAGGCTACATCTAGCTCCTAAAACTAAAGTCTGTTTGATTCCATACAAATAATGAATTACAAGTTTATCTTCCCAGGTGCAGAAGAAAGACAAGATAGGATCAAACATTCTTCCACCTACCCAGGGACAACCACATAAGTGGTGCTTCCTTCACTCCCTTTTTCTCTACTAACATTCCCTTTATCTTTTGTAAAAGGCCTCACAAGAATGTAACCATTTTGCATCACTGCCCACTCCCTTCTTTTTTTTTTCTTTCTGTATGCCCATTCCCCTTAAATACTGAAGATCCCAAATTCCTCTTCATGAAAACAGCCACAGGTTTGTCTGTGGTTTTTGTTTTCCCCAGGCATGTTCCCAAACTTTGGCTAATAAATCTCCATTGATTAAGACCTTTGCCTGGGTCACTTATTTTGGGTTGTCATATCTATTTAAAAATATTTTTCTTTTTCACAGCAAAAAAAAAAAAAATTAAATGTAAAAAACTTCACAGCAAAAACTTCACAGCAAAAAACTTCACAGCAAAAAAAAAAAAAAATTAAATGTAAAAAACCACAAAATGAGAGTATTAGGACATTTGATTATATCACCAATCAGATACATGCATGTGTTTATTCTCCAAAAGCTGTTGAAAGGTTAGTAAAGGAATAAAAGGAGAAGACCATAAGTACAAAAAGAATGTGAGAGGGAATAAAAGAAAGGCCATGTGAACACACCTGATGATCTAATAATAATTCTAGCTAACATTTACTGTGTTATTATGTGCCAGTCTCTACGTATATTATCTCATTTAATCTGCAGTCGAGTGGGGAGACTGTTATCCCCATTTTCAAGTGAGAAAACTGAGGCTTGCAGAAATTAACTAATTTGCTCAGGTTTCCATTTGTAACAGGTAGAGTCGGGATTCTGAGCGAGGACTTGACTCTGACCTACAAGTCTGACTTGCTTGAGATTTCATGCATATACTTAACTGCCTCTCCCCTGGCTATTTTTCTCCTGGATTATTTGCCTCTTAGTATTTTGCAAGAGCTCTTTGTATTTTGTTTGTAGGGGCTCAGAGCAGGGAAGGATCTATCTGGGCAGAAGTGGCATCAGACATGCCCTGCCTTCCCACCAAAGTTAGGCTGCGCATGAGTCCAGGCGGGTCAGCACACGGAGGCGAGTGCAATCTCGGGTGATGGCAGGAGATCAACCCGATACAGACAGAGGCCGCCAAGGATGAATGGACTTTGACCCCATCGGAGAAAAAGTGAGTGTGACTCATAGGAAGAAAACAAAGATACCAAAGCTTCCACTGTGTGCAGACAGTCCAAAGTCACCAGAAGGAAGAAGAAAACCTGAAACAGAGAGAGCTGGCCAAGAGCTAAGGCCTATGCAAATGAGACCTGCCCACTCTGCCTGGAACCAGACTTCCAGAAGCAGAGCACTTGCATGCAGCGCTGCTCGGAAGGCAGAAGGAAGAGGCTCTGAGGGAGCAGGTAAGGAGCTGGAAAGGGTCACGGAGGGGCTGCAGAGTCCTGAGAGGCTGCATCGCCCAGTGGGTGCACTCTGGCCTGGGAGGCTGGCTTCTGGGATCATCTTTCAAACTCAGCCACTCTTTAGCTGTGAACCCTTGGGCAAGTCACTTCACCATTCTGAGCCTTGGCTTCCCCATCTATCAAATGGGTATAAAATAATCATGCTAACTATGGACTGAGCACCTGCTGTGTTCTGCTGGGCACATCATAGACTATTCTTTCCCCACAGCAACCCTGCAAAGTGGGATTGTTAGCTTCTTTTACAGAGGAAAAGGAAGTTCAGAGAGGTTAACCCATTTGTCCAAGATCAGCAAACAAGTCTGGTTCTTAAGCCAGTACACTTTTTAATCCCCATTCAGCCTCCTTCACAGGGTGGTTTGAGATGATCAAACACCCTTATACAAACGGAAAAAAAAATGGTAAAAGGCAATTATATTATCTAGATGTATCACCATACTTAGATCCTAGCAAGGGTCAGGGCCCTTTGTAAACTGTGAAGTGTCATGAAAATGCCAGTTCTTCATCTCTATCATCTTGAGGTTGAAAACATTGGGGTGACACTACAGACAATTAATATTTGGTGATGACTTGTTCATAGACCAAGGTGATGACGTTGGGGTGGCATGTAGGCCCTACTGTAGCTAAGAAGTCCTGGCTTGGGGTGGGGTCGGTACACGGCCAGAGTCTCACCACTGATCCTGAAACAACAGTGGGCCCCTGCAGGGAGCACCCAGATAAATGTCCAGGCAATAGAGATGGTTCCTCCTCTTCAACAGCCTTTTCCAGCTTTGGCCATGGAACTTCAGAGACTGTAGGTTTGGTTGGGGTAGAAATGGGAGCTCTTTAAGGATAGTAATACAAGCTTATTAGAATAAAGTCAAAATTTTCAGATAAGAGAATTAAAAAAAAATCATAATCTTGCCCCCAGAGATAACCACGGCTGACATTTGGTTGTTTATCTTTCCAGAGATATTTTCCATTGCGCACATATTTTTGAGAATTGGATTATACTGTAATATGGTTTTATTACTAGTTCTTTTTCATTTAATGACATTATATCATAGAAGTATTTCCATATCAATAGATGTTTTATCACATAATGTTAAAGGCTGCAGAGTGTGTCTTCATATGGATGGAGCAGAACTTACTGAGTCAGTTTCCTATTATTGGATAATGAGGTGGTTCTCCATACTTCCCTGTTAGACCAGTGCCTCGGCGGGCAGCTCTGTAATCAAATCAAATCTTTGCAGAGGTCCTTGATTATTTCTGTGAGGCAGATTCCCAGCGGGGAACTGATGAGTCAAGGCTATACCTATTTTAAGGCTTCTGATAAGTATTAAATGTCTGCTTCTGACACACCCTGGAATTTAGGGGCTCCTCAAAGTTTGATGCAGAAAATTTTATCATGGTCTTGAAGTCAACTTTGAACCTTCCTCACTCAGATCCATTTGCAGCAACAATGCCAACTGCCTCTTATACAGTGATACCTCACACAACGACATTTTGGTCAATGATGGACCGCATATACGACAGTGGTCCCATGAGATTACAATACCACATTTTTTCTGTACCTTTTTTATGGTTAGATATGTTTACATACACAAATGCCTACCCTCATGTTATAGTTGCCTGCAGTATTCAGTACAGTAACCTGCTGTGCCGGTGAGTAGCCTAAGAGCAATGGGCTACACCATACAGCCCAGGTGTGTAGTAGGCTATACTGTCTAGGTTCACACACTATGATGTTCACACAATGATGAAATTGCCTAAAATGACGAATTTCTCAGAATGTATCCCCATTGTTAAGTAACACATGACTGTATATTCTTTACTGGGTGCCGGGCTCTATCTATAAGCTTTACTACTTCTGGCTTCCTTTCACAAGGGAAAATTGGGGCACACAGAGGTTAGGTGATTCAACTGGAATCACAGCCCTAAGAAGCAGTAGATCTGGAGTCATGAGCCTTGACAATCTGATTCCAGAATGTATAAGCTGGATCCCAAGAAGTCCACAGCTTCTTGGTAAGTGGCCTTGATTATGTCCCCAGAGATATCTTCCACTGCATCCCCTTTATCTTCTCCAGCACCAGCTGACTTGCATTAACACCACTATCACATGCCCGGGCCCCTACCTGGTCCTCCCTTTCCGCTCCTAGCCCTCTGCCTGTCCTCTGCTCTGCAGCTGGAAGGGTGTTTTTTCAAATGGAAATAGCATCAGGTCACCCTGACCCCCAACTCACCCCTGGAAAAAAATCCAGATGAGTTCCCGAGCCTGCGGGTCCCACCTCCTACTCCCCCTTCATCCTGAGCCACTTGTCCACCCAGCCACACCCAAGACACCACGGTCACCCTGGCCTCTTTTCACTTCCTCAAATACGTAGAATTTTTCTCACCTCAGTGCTTTGACATGGGCTGTCCCCCTGGGCCTGCAATGTTCTTCCCCCACTCTGCATGGCTGGATTCTTCATCCTTCAGTCTCAGCTCTCACATCTCTTCTTTGGAGAAACTGTCCCTACTGGTCTCATCGGAAACTCTTAGCCCCCTAAGCCCATTTTCTTCTTTGTCCATTAAAATTATGTATTTAGTTATTACCCATTACTCATTAAACGTCTCTCTGCCTCACTAGACTCTAAATGTCATGAGGACAAAGATGATATCTATTTTGCTCGCCATTATTTACCCAATGCTTAGCACAGAGCCTGGCATACAGTAAGCACACAGTCACTACTGGTTAGATGAGTGGGCACAGAATATAAGGCATTGGCAAGGATCCTTGGTAAACTATCCTAGTTTTGGTTGGGATACTCTATCTCCCTCTGCATACCTCCACTTCCTTCTTCCCTCTTCAGAGCAGTGACAGGGGTCTGGAAGAAAACCAGGAAGCCACGGGTGAACGAGCAGAAGCAAGTTTTGCTTCAGGTGTCAACTCGGGGTAGATGATGTAACATCAGGGGCCCAAGGGAGACTCCCTGTTCCAAATCCCCCTTCACACAGTTCCTGGGCTCCTACCACGAGAGTCTGATGGCCACGAGGGATTCCTGACAAAATGTGAGCACTGACTATCTGGCTACTAACACGCGTTCAGCAGGTGGACTGCACGGATGCAGCGTTCTGTCCTTATGACAGCAGCATGAAGGTGGACTGGGAGTCCCAAGACATGGGTCCCAGTGTCACCATTAACTAGCTGGGTGACTTTGGGTGAATCACTTATTGTCTCCCATTTGCAGAGTGAGTGGTTCTGATTGAGAATTTTTAAACATTTTTTCCCCCAGCAACTCAACTCAACTCATGACCAATATGAGGAACAGATAAAAGCCAAGTGTTTCTGGTTGAAGCCAGGCTAGAGCGCTCCTCCCTCCCAACTTCCCCCTTAAATCCCCAAGGTTGGTGGGATGGCCAACTCTGGGGCTCTAAGATCTGGGCAGGCTGGCCATCTGCATTCTAAGAACAAAGCAGAAGGCAGCAAGGTTTGCGCACTCGCACTCGGGTAGCAGTTGCTTAAAGATCAGCAGGGGGCCAGGGAGGAACTGTTGGATCTGACATTCAGAGCTTTTAGGCTGCGAAGTAAGTGAATTTCATAGCAACTAAAGTGCAAGGCAGGCAGACCTTTTGTGCAAGAAGAAGGTTCTGGTCATTTTTAGAAAAAAAATGAGGGCCCAGGAGGGAGGAAGCTCAGAAAACTCACTTACCCTCTTCACATCTAGAAAGAGGAAATTGCCACCCCTATTTTTCCCCAGTCAGGGATTATGGGTCTTGAAGGGACCACCCATCATCTTGCAAATACTTGGCTTCCAGGTTCCATAGGTTGCCACGCCCTTCCAGGGGATGGGGGTCCCCTCAGGTCCCCACCCCACAACCCAGGCAGCTCTGGCCTTGGCTCCAAGCAGGTGTGCTCAAGAGGCTGCAGCCTGGGCCACCTGGCAGCTCCAGGTGCTGCGTGCACCGCTGCCATGGAGATGGGCCCCAGGGTTGGTGGTGAGCAGGCAGTCTCTGAAAGCATTGTGGATTCAGGGGAGGGAGAGACTGGAGCCTCAGGCCCTTCAGTGTAGTCTGCCTAACTACCCCAGAGCCAGCAGAAACTAAGGTGGGTACCCTGAAGGTTTCCTGGGACAAAGGGAGGGAGGAGGAGCCAGGGGAGACTGAGTATGATTGGGAAGAGGCTCTGGAAGGGCTGATCTGGGGACCTGGGCAGGGGAGCCTCTCTAGGGCTTCCAGGTCAGGGAGAAAAGCCTTACCAGGGCCCCCTTGCCAGGCCAAGGACTGGGTGAGTAGGCTCTGGAAGGTTGGCCCTCTAGCCCAAGGGGAGGAGGAAAGAGGGCCTGGCATTTGTCCCCAGAGGAGGGCAGAACAGGGTGTTCTCAAAGCCCATCTCTGCACTAGTCAGGGATTTGAGGTAGTAGGGAGGAAATACTTGTCCTCTAGCAAAAACCACTGACGGTGGCTTGCCCCCCCCTGCCACCCGCTGCCTGATTCAGGGCAGCCAAGGGCAAACACACTGAGCGGAAGGAGCATTTTTATCTGTCTCCAGAGCCCAGTGTGCAGTTGCCTCCAACGCCAGCTCACTCAGGTGCTGTGGGGAGGGGCGGCCCAGGCCTTCGCCCTGCTACGGGAAGGCTGTGGGGACACCAGGCCTAACGTGATGGCTTCGGAGCTGGGTGATCTGGAACAAAAGCACTTTTGAACCTAAGTTTCTTCATCTGTAAAACATGGGTGATAATACCTTTTAACACCCACAGAGCCCTCAGCCTCAGACCAGGCACAGGGACAGGGCTTAACAGGTGTTCCTTTGCTCCTCTCCCCTCTCTGCCAGGACGTCTCCTGTGAGCCCCCGAGGTGCGCAGTGTGAGGATGGCAGAGCAGCAGGGCCGGCAGCTCGAGGCCGAGTGCCCTGTCTGCTGGAACCCCTTCAACAACACGTTCCACACCCCCAAAGTGCTGGACTGCTGCCACTCCTTCTGCGTGGAGTGCCTGGCCCACCTCAGCCTGGTGACTCCCGCCCGGCGCCGCTTGCTGTGCCCACTCTGTCGCCAGCCCACTGTGCTGGCCTCGGGGCAGCCCGTCACCGACTTGCCCACGGACACTGCCATGCTCAGCCTGCTCCGTCTGGAGCCGCACCACGTCATCCTGGAAGGCCGTCAGCTCTGTCTCAAGGACCACCCCAAGAGCCGCTACTTCCTGTGCCAGCCCCGGGTCTACACGCTGGACCTGGGCCCCGAGCCTGGGAGTCAGGCTGGGTCCCCCCAGGGCACAGCTCCTGTCACCGTGCCTATGCCCGTCCCTATCCCCAGCCACTACTCTCTGAGGGAGTGTTTCCGCAACCCCCAGTTCCGGATCTTTGCCTACCTGATGGCTGTCATCCTCAGTGTCACTCTGTTGCTCATCTTCTCCATCTTCTGGACCAAGCAGTTCCTTTGGGGTGTGGGGTGAGCACTCTGCTCCCCGACAAGGAACCAAGTCTTTCTCAGTTGCTGCTGGGTTTGGCAACTGCAAAGTCCCCTTTGGTGTCGTCTTCCTTTGTCGTATTGTTCATTTACAGTCCAGGGATCGGCTGGGCCATGTGTTTGCTTCTGGGACCAGCGAGGGGCCTAATGCAACGAGGAAACAACACAAGCTGAAGGGCTGGGAGATGTGGAGAGACCTCTGGGTGTGAAACATGGGGTCACGGAAGGGCAGAGAAGCAGTTCTATGACTACAGAGCTACACAGCAAGTTGTGCCAAAGGGCAGGACAATGGTATCCAGGATCCTAGCCTAAACAGCAAGTTGTATTTCTCACTGGAGCTGCTTTGGACTCAGTTCACAATTTTTTTTGAATTGTGATTTTTACAGTGGGTTGCTAAAAAATTTGGAAAGTGAGCTTCAATTCTGCGGATGAATGTGGTTGTTCTACCCTTTCTCTTTGGATGTTTTGCTACCAGTCACAGTAAAAATGTCCTGCATTCGTGAATGCATTCACTTATTCATTCTACAACCATTTCCTGGGCTGGTGCTGAGTGCCAGGACTAAGGGAAGAGAAAAGTGGGATTTTCCAGGGGTGGCAGATGGCCCTTACCAGCAGGGAAGGCACGTTCATTCAGCTGCTTCTTATACAAGACAACCTCTTGCCAGCATGCAGTTCATAGAGTGTTAGGAGTATAAAAATCTAAAGGAAAAAGAAGCCAGAATCAGTGGATTAGGAGAAATCTGGGATTTAGAGGAATAGGCTGTTATTCCTCCTGGCAGGGGCAGAGGCCCTGATTAGAATGGATAAGGTGAGAGGTCTGACACTCTTCCCCCAAGCATTATAATTCTGGCCTCAAGAAGTAAGACAAAAACCTTGGATAGAGGTGAAGCCTTAGTTCCCATCCCAGGCCATAGTAGGGAGAGGAGACCTTGGTTTTTACTTTACTTCATAAAATTCAGGAACCAAGGAAATGAGACAGAATTTGGAGGCTTGGGCTGTTGCTTGACAAGTTGCCACCTTGCAGTGTCTAAAACTTGATTTCTGCCTCCCTAGTTTTAATCTTGCCTGGTGGCTCAGGGGTCTGAAACAATCTCAAAGTGGATAAAACACCATCAAAACTATGAAAAAATATTTTGAGTTTTTTTGTTTTTTTTTAATTTGTAGAATAAACTTTTCAGAGGACAGAACCTGAGTTGGCTTTATTTGCTGTAGATAACATTATGAGTTTAATGGAACTAGCTTCTATCAATTCCTCTTAGGGATCTTAATATATGAGACATTCTAAAAGAGCCAAGACATATTTCACATTTAGTAAAAACAAAGTTTTAAGCCCCAATGTGAAGAAAAATTCTCCATTACAAAATTGGAAAGCTGCCTACATTTCCCGCCAGGGGACAAGCAACTACCTCTACATTTGCGCCATCAAAGATAATTACCCTGAAGCTGGGACTGTACCTCTCCCCACTGACTTCATTTCTTTACACATCTTTGTTCCCTAACCTTGGAGCAGGTAAGTTTGGCAATGATCTCACCATGTTCTCTGAGCTGTGGAGAAGAAAGTGGACAGGAAGAGGAGTCAGGGGAAGCCCAGGAAGGAACACTCGCAGAAGGCACTAAGGCCTACTACTAATTTAGCTACTTTGTTCAAGGTCACCCAGCGAGTAAGTGGTGGGTGGAGTCCTTTCAGGCAAAATAGAATTTATATTCTTAGAGTGGTTGATGCACTATCCAAATAAGAAAAGACATGGGTTTGACATTTTCTGGATAGGGAGGGATATACAGTCATCCCTTGGTATCCATGAGTAGATTGGTGGATCCAGGAACTCCCACGGATATCAAAATCTGAGGATGCTCAACTCCCTGATATAAAATGGTATAATATTTGCCTACAACCTATGCAATCCTCCTAGATACTTTAAATCATCTCTAGAGTACTTACAATACCAAATACAATATAAATGATACGTAAATAGTTATACTGTATTGTTTAGGAGGTAATGACAAGAAAAAAGTCTGTAAAGGTTCAGTACACCCCAATTTTTTTTTTGACTTGTGGTTGGTTGACTCTAATGATACAGAACCTGCCAACATGGAAGGCCAAATTGTACTCAATATTAGTGTCTTCTATTTTCACATTCAGTTGTTCTTACCTTGGGCCAGTCCCATCCTCCTATGGGGCATTTGGCATTTCCCATGGGAGCATCTTTAGTTCTCAGTAAAAGTGGTAGATTGTACAGCTGCCATTTAGTGCCTAGAGTTCTGGGATGCTTAGACCTGCTGCAATGCTTCAGTTCCACTTACTAAACATCACCTACCTCAGAATGTATATACCGTGTTTCCCTGAAAATAAGACCTACCCATAAAATAAGCCCTAGCAGGAGTTCTAAGTATTTGCGCAATATAAGGCCTACCCCCAAAATAAGACCTAGTGATTGGCATGGCTATGCAGCATATCTGCACAACCCAGACATTTCGTCTCGGAGAGGTAAAGATGACGAGCAGCCCTTCTCATCTGCCCATGAGAGCTCTATTGCTTGACATGAGAGATTGGGGCCAATGGTTCCAAAGGAAATAGAGTTGTCGCAAGAAATTCAGGATGGAATTCGGGATTTGGAGAGTTATGATGATGTTCCAGAAGATGACTTAACTATATTTGAATAGGCCGGACATGGTGGCTCACACCTGTAATCCTAGCACTCTGGAAGGCCGAGGCAGGTGGATTGCTCGAGGTCAGGAGTTTGAAACCAGCCTGAGCGAGACCCCATCTCTACTAAAAATAGAAAGAAATTAATTGACCAACTAAAAAAATATATACAAAAAAAAAAAAAATTAGCCGGGCATCATGGCGCATGCCTGTAGTCCCAGCTACTCGGGAGGGTGAGGCAGGAGGATCGCTTGAGCCCAGGAGATTGACATTGCTGTGAGCTAGGCTGATGTGATGGCACTCACTCTAGCCTGGGCAACAAAGTGAGACTCTGTCTCAAAAAAACAAAACAAAACTATATTTGAATAAATGCAGATCGTTGTACCGTACTTAAAAAATAACACATCCCTGAAAATAAGCCCTAGGGTGTCTTCTTGAGGAAAAATAAATATAAGACCCTGTCTTATTTTTGGGGAAACATGGTAGTTACCCTACAGAATAGTACAGTAGGCTCCTCTGGAGTTCATAAGTGAACAGTTAATCTTAATTTCATTTGACATGAAGTGACTTGTCAAAAAGGCAGTCAGTATACAAGTGGAGTGGTTAAAAAGCTCAGCCTTTGTACAAGATATAGGTCATGCTGGCTGCAGCGTGGCCGACATACCCAATAAAGCCCTGCAAAATCTCTTTATATATGTCACAAATGGTCAGACGAACCATGGTTCAAATTCAGGCTCTACCACTTACTAGCTAGAAACCTTAAGTTACTTAATTTCTTTGAGCCAGTTTTATTTGTAAAAAGGGATTAATAAACTCGTAAGACTATGAGAATTAAACGAGATGTCTGAATGTGCCTGGTACACTGCCTAGGCAGGCTATGGTGGTGGCTATGTTTATCTTGTCATTATCATGAAATGCTACCCCTGGCTTTGTGCTTAACTAACCACCTTCTTACAATATTTATTTCCTGTGAAGAAATGGATATTCCATAAGATACTTGTTCTGCCAAGTCTTAGACAAAATGCTTTTACCTAACTGCTACCTCTTCCAACCACCAAAAAACAAACAAACAAAAAACAAGTCTAAGGGAACTAATAGTAAAATTTAAATTTGAGAAACTAAAAACTGTTAGCACACTATATCCAAACTGCATGCTAATACACCAACGTTCATTATTTCACACATGCTACAAAGATGGTAATGATTTCTTTTCATGGCTAACTATTAAGGAAATAGAACTCATTAATACCTAAACAACAGTGAAGTGCCCAAAGGAGGGTAAAACTGGTAATTTAGAAGCTTAACAACTACATGGGAAATATAATTATTTGGTTATAACTGAAATCAGACTAAAAACTGTACGTTTAGCTATATGTCACACATTCATTTTACAGAAGAGCACTGAACAAAGCCATTCTCAACCTCTCTGGAATAGCAAATGAAAAGAGTTCTGAACATTCAAGGGGAAGCTATCGTATAAGCCTTTCTTTAATGTCTCCTATGTAGACCCCTTCTTCCAAATTCCTATCTTTTTGTGTGAATTGACTTTACTGTATAATTTTAAAGCTCACAGATGCATGATCAGTAAGAATTATAGAGGCAAGATATAGCTCACAGGTAGCCTGGCCCACAATGCAAACAGTCCTCTATTTTTAAAAAACCTGTTAACAGTGCTTACTAAGGAGACAGAAATTGAAGTAATCTGTATTTGAAATCATCTGTTATATTCCAAACCGAAAAAAAGGGACTTCTATGGATCAACAGCTGACGTTCAGAAAATGCTTAACTATAGAAAATAATTCTTTAAAGGATAGTTTTTATAATAGAATTTTACTCTTGTCAAGTGTGTAATAAAGAAAAAAAGAAAAGGTTTATATTTATGAATACCTATTAGGGATTTTTTTCCAGTTACCTTGAGATGAAGTACCCTTTAATACATGAAATACATTAAACAACCTACAGAAAAGAAGGTTGTACAACAGAGACATCATATTCATTTTCTAAAAATTTGAGTACTGACACAATGGCCTTGCTTTAGGGTAACACGAAGGATGCCAAACTTCAAAGAAAAACGGAAGACATTTTCTGACAAGACAAATGTTCAGTTTTGAGTTTCCCAATGCTTCCTGATACAGTTAGCATTCCAAGTGAAATCAACAGCAAGTAGAATCTTCTTTGTTGCATAACCATCAGCAGAGCTGCAGTCTACTGCTTCATCTCTCATTCTTGAGGGAGAAGAAAGGTGCTCGCTGTCAGGCACTGTTGAACCAATGAGTGCTGATATGTGCCTCTTTACTTGAGGGCTTCCAGAATATAGTCCAGCCACCTCACTCTGTGGGTCAGTCACATGTAGTCCTTCTTCCGGCACGTACCATGTTACAGAAAGCCAAGTTTTAAGAATTAAAAACAGAAAGAGTCAGTCACAGTCCTGAGTGCTGTGAGGAGGGAGGCTATAGGGCATTCAAACAAAAGATTAATAAAAACAATGTCTACACAGTTCATGGCAAGGCCTGAAGAGAATTAAATTTTCAACCATGAAAGGGGTTCTCCATCACCTAGAGACTGGGCTGTCTGCCTGGAGTGGGGACTGACATGGAAATCCAATTCTATTGCGGGTCTATACATGGTAATTGGCAGAAAACATGATAGAACTAAACAATTCAATTCTTTTCTTTTGATGAAAATGGCTCCTAAGGGAGTGCGTGAAGTTAGAGTCCTCTTCCCATGGTCTTGCCTATTCAGCCATCCAGAGCTTGAAGGTCCTGTCATATGAGCAAGTGGCTATGAGCTGCCCATCGGAAGAAATGTCTAAGCCCATCACTTTGCCTTCGTGGCCAGCCAGTGTCTTCAGTGGGGACCAGCCTGGGTGGGTCCAGATCTTGGCTGTATTATCATAGGCACCAGTGAGCAAGAAGTTCCCATGGATGGCTACAGGAGAAGAGAAGGGAATGACTTGAGGAATTCAAATATTC